TAAACATTAAGCTTCCCTCTTAATATCAAATTAAACTTCACATCCTTTATTTTAAAGCTACTTTTAGATAATATTTGGACTTTCCCTTTAGCATTCATTAATTTATTTTGATACACTTTCGGATTCTTTGTGTAAAATGTTGTACTTCATTGCTTCCGTTTAGTTTTTTCTCCTCCTACCTCAAACCAAAAAGTTTCAAATACCACTTTCCAAAAATTTACCCTAGCTAATGTGTTTGGTTATTAGAATGAAACATAACATGAATGTTAGTGATTAGGGGATTTTGCTCCCACCAATTGGAATGCGCCACGTGGGCCAATCAGGTCCTGCCAAGTGTCCCCCAGTTGGAACTGTCAGGGTTTGCCACGTGGCACACGCCTATTTGTCCACCCTGGACCTATTATGTCATGACATGTGGCGTCCTCCATGCCTAATGGAGAAACCGGCCACCTAGGCCCAACTTTCGAGGGAAGCCCAATCAGCCCTAGGTTAACCTAAACCTAGGAATGGCACGTTTCCCAAGGTCATAAATACCTCCCTTAATCCTCATTAAGGGGGATTACGCACATTTAACACTCTCACCTAGAGAGACCCAATCACTTTAATTTCCGCATTAATTACTCCTTAATCAAGTACTAACTTGACCGTCGGAGGCGGATCTCCAATCATCCGGAGCAGGTACAGGCGTCCGGTTCCAGTCTCGGAATTGTAACTCTCCCGCAGGACATCAGAAAACCCCGAAACAGTTAGCTCTTAGAATGGGTGGTGGTTTTAGATTTGTGACTCTAAATGCAGAAACATGGATGTTCTTAACATGAATTTGAGGTGTTTTAGCGTATTTAAACACAACTAATATTACTATTGCTACGATGAATAGGGCAATTAGGAGGACAACAATAAGTATAACACAAAATAACTGTGCATATCTAACCGTCCATCGTTTTGAGGCTGAGGCACCTTGTGGCATGGGTGCTACATTCCCAGCCTCCATTGACGTGGGAAGGCTTAGCCTTTCATTCTTCGTGTTATTTTCTTGATATAACTTTTTTCCCTTAAATTATGCTAATTTAGGCTTATATTCAAAGTAATGGTAAAGGGTATTTTTGCCTATAATTAGTTTTTTTTGAACTTGGCCTCAAAACATATCACCATTTTAAGTAGATTTAAGTTAATTGGATTTGGAATCTTGATTGGTATTTTGAGCTTCTGTTAGAATTTTTAAATTCAAATTAGGAAATATAAAGTCATTAATTAGTTGTTAGTTGCAAACATGTTTTTTATGCATATCTTTAATTAATTTTTTCTGTACTAGCTCCATCGCATATCTATTTTAGGTCGTCTTAAAATAAGATATTATATTTGATATATGTAGTACATTACTTCATAATTTTCGACAAATAAATATAGATTCTATTATTAAAGAAGATCTTACATTATAGATTGAAATTGTTAACCACACACACCAAAAAAAAAAAAGTAAATTAAAAATTGCTACGCGGTAGACCATTCTTTTTTACACATTGTTTAATACATTTCCATTCTTTTTTGTTCTACTCACTTGCATTATGTGCAGTCTCCAATACACATGTTTGACTAAATTGACTATTACTCACTTGCATTATGTGCAGTCTCCAATATATTCTTATTGATTAAATTGACTATTACTTATTGATCAAATTGCAACAATGCTCTTTATAAAGATACCTTTTTTCAATTGATACAAACTTTTTACTTAATAAAGTTGATTTTTCATTATTACATATGCTTTCTTCATAAGCAATTTATTAGTATAAAATTGATTTTAATTCATGGACAAATAAAAACCTTTTTTTTTTTTTTTGCGTGGTCAGGCCACTCCTACTACGTCCTCATGTAAAATATGCCCTAAAGCTAGGGGGGTTGAATCAATTTGAACGAATTGTTCTGTGACACGCCTTGATTGGCCAACCAATCGGCAACTCTATTCGCCTCTCTGTAAATATGGTGGACTTCCACTGGCCAATTATCAGCTTTTAGCAAACGCTTGCATCTAGTAAGAATGTGAACGCTTTCACCATTATACCCATCTGCATTCTTCAAGGCTTGAACTAAAGCCTGACTATCTAGCTGGTTTTGGACCTTAGCAGCTTGGATTCTGGCAGCAAGAATTAACCCGTATTCCAGAGCTTTTGCTTCAGCCATAAAGGCATTACAAGCACCAAAATTGAGAAAAAAACCATAAGCTAATTTACCTGTATGGTCACGAATGACACACCCACCTCCTTGCCACGCCATCAGTATTCAGCGCAAGCCATCTAACATACACTTCGTGCCTCGTGCTTCGACTAGACCTCAAGCCTACACTATCATCTCCCAAGACCCTCCAGACTTCTTCAAATTTTGCAAGAAGAGATTGATTCACATCAATTGGAATATCTTGAGTATCACCGAAAACTACACTTTTTATCCACCTCCATAGCCACCAAATCACAATTGCAAAATATGTGGGCCATATTTCAGGGGATAAATCGTTTCTAGCTTGAATCTTAATATTTCGAACGATCCATTGCTGAAAAGTACCCTGTCGAAAACATTTTTCCAAACCTCTTTAGCAGCTCTGCAATCTCTTAACACATGAAGAGTTGTTTCCTCGAGGTTACCACATAATTTGCACCATGGATTGTCAGCAATGTTACGCTTGAAATGATTCACATTAGTCATCATAATTCTGTCGTGCCATTAACCAAAGGAATACCTTCATTTGTGATCCCAAAACAAGGTAGAATCACCACTATCAACAGTCGCTCGAGCACCTTCGCAAATAAAGTTAGCATTTTCAATGATACCTCTCCAGACATTGGACATATTTGCTTTAGATTCAAACATGTCCACGTCGCATCTACCCTTACAGTATTTGGCTTGAAAAAATCTAGCCCATAGAGCATTCGGTCCGTTAGAATTAAGTCTCCAACCGAGCTTTGTTAAAAAGGCAGAATTTGTTTCTCTTGCACCACGAATTCCTAGTCCATCTTGATTCTTATTGGGTAGTACGTCTATCAATATCATCGCAAATCGATCTCGAAATTTTAGCCGTTTGCATAGCATATGAACTAATGGTGGAGATGGTAGATTTAGCGAGTGTAATGCGGCCAGCCATAGATTAATACAATATGACTTATAGTAATTTTATTGAATACAATTTAATTTATTCGAGCAAAAGATAACATGACCTCAGGGTGCCTTTTATGATACCCTTATTAGTAATGAATGTCTAACAAGATAATGTCTATTTTTTAGCTCAGCGTATTAAATTACTAGCTCATAAGCTTCAAGAAAAATAAGTTAAGCTCTTATTCTTTTCACCTTATTTTTGCTAAACTAAAAATGTCTTTACTGAAATTTATTTATTTTTGCTGAGCTTAAATTATTTTTACTAATTCTCTTTTATATTTGTTCTATAAAGTTGTTGAATTTTGTTGGTAAAACTTATTTTTACTAAATTTTTTAACTTATTTTACTAACTTCTAAATTAAGTATTGTCTCCTCTACTCATTCTCTTTCTCTCCCAGTTTTCTTATAGGGTTTTTATTTCTAGGTTTTCTGTATTATTGGAATTATAATTTACAAATATATTGCCACAAGTATGTCATTCATTTAATATTAGATAAGTATAAAATCTTGCTAAAAATGGTTGCAATTGCTATTAAATGAACCTAACTACAAAGTCACGCATCAATAAAGTGGCTCATTAATTACTTTTGTTGAACTAAATTATCTTTACTGATAGAACTTATTTATATTGATTCTCTAGTATATTTGTTCTTTGAAATTACTGATTAAATTTTTTTTTACTAAACTAAATTTTTTTTTACAAAATTGAATTCATTTTTAATAAATTGATATTATTTTACTGAATATTATTTTATAAAGGTGAAGAAAACATGGCCTTAGTGGTGGTTTAAGATTTTTTTTTTTTGTTTTTTTAGAAAAGCAATAATTGTAGTGAATTGAATTGAAAAACAATAGAAATTATTTTTAATGAACTTAAATTATTTATACAGATTCTCTATTTGTAAATAATTTTTTTGATTTTTAATAATTAAAACTTATTTTTTACCGAACTTAACTTATTTTTCCGAACTTAATAATGCAATGAGTAAAGACCTAAGCTAATTGAATGGTTAATTTTTTAATTGTTGCAATAATTAATAAACCATTACATTAGCTAAGACTATTGTAAAAACTGTTGCATGATCTTTAACCATTGCAATAATTGTTGTATTAGCTTAGGCAGTTGCACTCTATCGTTGCAATAGTCTTTAACCGTTGCTTAATTAAGATCATTGCATTTTCTCAATTATGTAGTAGTGACTTATTTTTATATATTGAACTGAAATTATTTTTACTAAAATGAATTTATATATTTTTACTAAATAGTATTTGAATAAAAAAAGTGAACTGAAGAGGGCCTAACACAACAAAATTTACTAATAATGTTGTAATTCATTTTGTTCGTATTATTCAATTCACATTACACAGTATGTTTGTTATGATGATTGATGAGTACGTATGAGCAGAGAAAATAAGCCATTGTTAATTTTGAAAAAACTATTATCCCCTCTTTATTTCTAAGTGAAATGTTTTAGCTTATGGCCTACTTCGTATGTAGTATGTAATGTTTTGACTTATTTTATTTTATTTATTTTATTTTTTTTAAAGAATGTGGAATTAATAGCACTACTACGAGTTAATATCAAAGAGAATGTGGAATTATATCGTGGCTTACAAGTACAATGGAACCAAGGAACGAAAAGAGTCAATAGTTGAGTGACTTGAGTCTCTTGTTCAAAGCATTTTGAAGTCCCGATACTAAAACCTGTTTACTAAAAAATATCTACCAAGTAATAAAATTCTGAAATTAAATATCCATAATATAATACGTGCGAAGTACAATACAGCTTTTTTTTTGTCCTCCAAAAAAAAAAAAAAAAAAAAAAGGTAAAACAATAATACAACTTTTATCTTCCAAAAAAAAAAAAAAAAGATTACTTACCAAAAGCTACAAATTAAAGTTTAACTATTCTTGATAACATTCAAAAGCATCCTTAAAGTGATATCTACCATTTATTTGTATTAAAAACATTAATTAATTAGCCTCTTGCACATGTAATTAGCCTTAGCAGACGATTCTATCTACAACTATGTTGTGCTTCAAAATGACCAATTAATGGGAGTATTTACCAATTCTACCTCTTGGCTTCCATTGATAATTCCTGTATATCCATTAAAAAATATTTAGTTAATTGGAATATTCGGAGATAGATAATTCTAGATTTGAAATCTTTTTATAGGTAGGCTCTCGAACATAAATATTGTAAATGACCAACTCCTAATATAAGGAGCTGTTTACAAAATCATGTTTAAGATTGGTGTTACGACTTATATTAAGTTAATTCTAAATATTTATAATTTTAACTATTGTAAGATTAAGAATTTTTAAGGTTGCAAAAGTTATTGTCATTCCAAAATAACCTTGATGAAAAGTCGAAACCTTATGCATGTTACATGCAGCGTGCAACATTGTTATATATAACTAATCTCATAATTTTAAAAATCAAAAAGAAGAAAGATAACGAAATTGAAAAAAAAAAAAAAAAAAACAACCTTACCAGACATTAACATATCGAAACTTGCACGGAATATAATGAGAACCGATAGCAACTTTTTCACACGTAATCTTGAAACGGTGTTTAACGGACCATATAAAGCTAAGGTGATTACTAAGCTTCCCTCTTAGGGTAATATCAAGCTTAATATCCTCCTTTTTTAGGTTGGACCTAGTTATTTGTACATCCTTAAATTCTACATTCATCTTAGGCAAATGATGTACACTTCTTCCTCCTTGTTTGTAATGTTGTATTTGATTAGTTCCGTTCACGTCGACGCCTCCCTCAAACCACTCGGTTTGCATAGCCACATTCCAAAACTCTAAGCCTACGAACTTGTTTTCGTTGTCTGATTCGAACAAAACATCCATGTTAGCTGTTAAATTAGGAGGGTTTTGAGTTGCTAATATTTGAAAATTTGGGACTTGGATCTCCTTGATGCGTACTTGAGGCTTGTCTGACATTCTAAACATGATAATCACTACTAAAAATAGGATGAAGATGATGGCTAAGATGACCGAAATAAGCGAGCCGATACCCACAAGCACAAACATCAAGCCAGAGGGTGAGCCTCCGTTTTCATTCCTAGCCCCCATTTTGATAAAAATGGAGTAGGTTTATTTTTCTACAATTCTTTGAGGTTTTATTAACTATACTATCAATTTAAAGGGTATATATATATATATATAATCTTAATTTTAATGGAATTTAGGAGAATGCTCCTTAAATATATGTTGATTTGAGGTTTGTAATAAGTTAAAGCCTATAAATAGAGTTTTCTAACCTAACACGAGGACATGAACGATTTATAGGATTCTCCATTTTTATTTTGAGCTTCCAAGTATATAGGAAAAAATTTGTAAGAATAATTGAGGAAATATATAACCATTAATTGGATTTATTTTTAATTTATTGCATGCACGTTCATGTTGATTGATAGGATTGGCAATTTTGGCATAATTAACTTTCTACCACCCGAATCTAGGAAAAATTGACAAGCGGATTTTCTATGGACAAAAGATTGTAAGAAACTATTTTTTGTGTATAAGGCCTTTTATTTTATTTTTTATTTTTTATTTAAACAACCATTTTCGAGTATGATATCATTTTCAAATGTAGAAATAAATTGTGTGAGCTTAATATGAGATACATACTTGTAGATTAGTTTTGAAAAAAATATTTATATAGGTATTAGTATAATTATATCTCGTGTAAGTTTTAAGATTGGGATGATTAATTACTTCACACCTAGTATATTACCTAAAACCTTCCATTATTGAAATGTGAAGAATTATCGAGTTTTACTTGTCCCAAAAAAAATATATACTAAAGTGTGTTTGACAACATTGTTCGATGAATTAGTTACTCTCTTTCACGCACCCAACATTTTACATATATTATATTTTTTCAACCATTTTTTACGAATATATATGCATTGCTAAACTAGTCAATTTATTGGAATTTTAGGAATTTTCCTTTACGGGAAAGGTTTCTTGCAATCTCCTTTTGCTTCTTACCAATAAAAAACACTCTATCAACTATGATATCATATTTCAATTCTTGTCGTTAATACATATTTGTGTTAGCAGAATGTTTTTTCACGAACACTAACTAGAGATGTCTAATGGTCAAGAGGGTGAGCTTTAGTAGACACTCGCATTTGTTAGTACTAATGAAGAGGTATTTTGGTACATATTAGGGTGATACCATCTAACAACGTCCATGTAATAGCGTATGATTCAAGCTTTTAAATGCTGAGAATAGCTAAGTAAGACTTAATGCACTTGTAAGATTCTTACCTTAAATCCTAAAGTATAAGGGTATTTGAGGTAAAGTTTTACTTACTCCCAAATCCTAACTACTTTACTCGTATACGAGTATATTGGACCAAAAAACAAGTGAGGGTTAGAAGATTTTTTCTCGTCTCTAAAGTATGTTAATACAATCACAAATATAAGGAGTATTAGTTTATCCGCTTCAAAAAAGTATTCCTCATTTACGCGCGCAACTGTCCACTGTAAAATTACAAATAACGGTGGCGTGCGGCGGCGGCGCGGCATAACCATCGCCACATTCTGACGCAGTTCAGCCGTCATATTCTAGATTCTTTCAAACGGCTATATTCCGCCATTGCCAAATTTCAAAAAGCTTCCGTTTCAACCTTGTATAAGCAAAAGTACCTTGAAAATGGAGCGCAGTCTTTTGGCTATTCTGCGCTCTTCTCATCATATAAACCAGCTTAAGCAAATTCATGCTTTAATTATCACCAGATACCCTTTTCTCTCTTCTAATTTTGCTCATAAATTGCTTAATTTGACCCATTTGAAGTACGCCCGCAAGGTGTTCGATGAAATGCCTAACCCAGATGAACGTTTGTATAATATGTTCATTTCCGCGTATTCTAGGATTGGTTCTTACAAAGAAGCAGTGGGTATGTTTTGTTTGATGCGTCGCAACGATAATAATATCACTAGTTATAGTGTTCCGCCTGTTTTGAAGTCGTGTTCAGCTTTCTTGATGGTGGGGTTGGGGAAACAAGTTCATTCTTTGATTATTAGTTTCGGGCTCGAGTCGAATTGTTTTGTTCAAACTGCTTTGATGGATTTGTATGCAAGGTCTGGTGATTTGGTATCTGCTAAAATGGTTTTTGATGGTATTTTAGATAGGGATCCGATTACTTATAATTGTTTGATGTCTGGGTATTCCAAATTTGGTGATGTTTTAGCAGCTCGTAGGTTGTTTGATGAAATGCCTGAGAAAAGTATTGTTTCGTGGAATACGATGATTTCCTGCTATGCTCATTGTGGTGATCATCAGGAAGCTTTGAGAATATTTGAAATGATGCAAGAGGAGAATTCTCAAGCTAATGAATTTACTGTGGCGACTGTGCTCTCTATTTGTGGTAGCCTGGGAGATTTAGAATTGGGATTGAGACTCAAGAAGTATGTTGATGATAATAATATGTTTTCTAACATGATAGTGTCGACTGCCTTAATGGAGATGTTTGTAAAATGTGGGGCTGTTCCTGAGGCACGGCAAGTGTTTGATCGCATGAATGAGAGGGATGTTATTACATGGGGTTCTATGATTGCTGGTTATGCCCAAAATGGGAGAGCTATTGAGGCTTTGGAACTGTTCAAATGTATGACAAATGAGAAAATTAAGCCAAATGATGTAACTCTAGTAAGTGTCTTATCAGCTTGTGCTCAACTAGGTTCTGTAGAAACTGGTGAACAGATTAAAAAGTATATAGAAACTGAAGGGTTGGACTCGAACATGTATGTTGCTTCGTCATTGCTGTGCATGTATTCGAGGTGTGGAAGTATAAAAAAGGCTTGGCAAGTCTTCAATCAGATGCATGAGAAAGATGTTGTATCCTGGAACTCTATGATTACCGGGCTAGCTTTTAATGGTTATGCTATGGATGCTATAATTCTTTTCGAAAGAATGAAAAAAACCAATGTTAGACCAGATGGTGCTACATTTGGTTCACTACTAACAGCATGCACCCATGCTGGCCTAGTTGACCTGGGTCTTAAACTCTTCCACAGCATGCATTCAAAGTATGATATTGTCCCTGAAGTGGAGCATTATGCATGCATTGTTGACCTATTTTGTAGATGTGGAAGACTTAACGAGGCTTATGAATTCATATGTCAGATGAAAAAGCCAAATGTTGTAATTTGGGGCACGTTACTAAGTGCTTGCAGAACTCATTCATATACTGATCTTGCGGAGATAGCATTGACAAAGTTGGTAGAGTTGGAACCTGAGAATTCAGGCAATTATATCCTTCTTTCAAACATATATGCCTATACAGGAAGATGGCAAGACAATCTAAGAATAAGAAACTTGCTGAGAGAGAAAAAAGTACAGAAAATTGCAGCATATAGTTGGATCGAACTAGAGGATGGGATGCATAGATTTCTAGTTGCTGACTCATTGCACCCTAGATGTAGCGAGATCTATGATGTGGTTGTTGGATTGGCTATGGTTTCATCGGATGAGACGGAGAATTATTTTGGATATTAGCTTATATCAATTTTGGAAATTGGAGCACCCATCAGCAAAGCTTGATTGGAGATTGTACAGCTTTGATATTGTAAGTTTTGATTACACTTTTGTTAAGCAGCCTTTATAATGAAATAAAGTACTTGTAGCCTTTTATTTTCTGAAGTATTGTTGTTTCTTATGGTTTCTATTTTTTGCCGTGGTGGTGAGGGTGGGACATGGTAGGCTCCTAGGTGTTTCTCCACTTTGATTAATTAGTTCAGTTGGTGGAACCTTGGCTTAAGTTTTCTAAAGTTTAACAGTACCTATATGCCTATACGGCATTGGTATATTACCACTGCTCCAATCAAATATATGTATAAAGTTTTGTAGCTGTAACATTTTATTACTGGAACAGTTCTGGGTTCCGAGAAGCATGAGTGCAATTGTGTACAATTTGCAAGTAATTAAATAGGATGGACAAATAATCAGCGATAGACTTCAAGATATCTTTGTTTGTTCCACATAATTTGCACGATTTTTACAACATAGTCAAGGAGAACAACGGTTAAGTATTGACTTGTAATGTATGAGATATTGTGCACACATACCTTGAAAATTAACTTGCTTTCTATGTCTCTACCCCTTTCTATTAAGTAATGTATCACGGCACTTATAATTCTTTCTCTTTCCATTTGTCTCTTCTTATGAAGCGGTAAAACATCAGATAAGTGAATCAGCAATCAGATGTTTTGCATTAATTTATTTTCTATTAATCTCCTTCTACCCAGGTTGCTTTTAAAGTTACTTTACAAAAAAATATGGTTGCTTTTGAAGTTATATATAGTAGATCCAATTTTTTTGAGCCCAAAGTCTCTTGTTAGGAAAAAGTAGAATTCAAATTTCTGGGAAGAGATGATACCAAGTAATTTAGACAGGGGATATGAGATGAGGTTTTCTGTCAGCCTCCATTCATTTAAACTTGATTGTGGCATTTTTATGTGACTTCCTTGCTACAGGTTTTGACATATTGAATTAGTTCCTGAAGAAAGCTGTCTAAGCAAAATTTTGGAGATGATATAAGAGATTATGGTCTACTCTTTACTCTGATGAGGTCAGTTTCATTTAGCTTGAAAACTTGTTCTTCTGCTGCATGTTAATTTGCAAGTTTACTTGAATGAATGGTGCCGTGATCTGTTTTGAGTTTTTGTTTAGTTGTACTTTTCACCCAAATTAAGTAGAGATCTTATTTCATCATATATGTTGTTGGTTTAGTTACCCATTGCATATTAACCTGAAACATTGATTGAACTATCGAGGTGAGTGATAAACAAATCTCTTATCTAGAAGGTCAAAATTTGAGGGAGGATAATTTAGTAATTCTAAGGCGATGAATATCCCTTAATTTGTCATAGATTGGTGGCTTTAGGTATATAAGTATATTTTCCTGATCTAAGGTTCTTACCATGGAATCAACTAAATGTTGTACCATTATGTGAAGACCATCCTGTAACAAATCACCTATTATAGTTCCTTTTTGAAGAATGGGGTTTTATCTTTTATGTGAATATGGTGGGCTTGGGAGGAGTACCGAATAAATGGGAAAATCAAAGTCCTCTCCATTAAAAATCAAGTATTTACAAGGAAAAAAAGATACTATCTTCTAACCCTCTTATCTATTTTCTGTTTTCAAACATATGACAAAATTGCATACAAATGTTCTTGTTTGATAAGATTGAGTTAATTTTCAAAGCTAAATAGGAAATCTGACTACATAACTAGGTAAAAGATACATCAGAAACTTGGCTAGGATGAATGACAATTCCTTGAAGTTCTGTAGCTGTTGACTTGGGGATATTTAAATTTAGGCCAGAAGGTATAGGCTTCTCGGGTGAGTGGCCCAATATTTCAGGAGCACCTGAATCATCTTCTCCCCAGTACACTTCCACCATAGCTCCCTGTGGATTCTCAGCAGACTCTGTTCCTGGGATTCCAACAAACCTTGCTCCCATGGGTATCTGCATGTACATTATTAGTTGAAATAGGGAACAGTTCATTAGTAAAGACTGCCTGGTGTTTCTCCCTGAAAGTATAGTATTCTAAAGGTTTATGTTAGCAGAATTGGCTTACCTGTATCGAGGCACCAGATGTCAGACTCAGAGTTACGAATCTTTCCTCTGATGCAGCACTTTCCATCTCTTCCTGTTTAGCAATATTAAGAAAAACTTCTTCTAGAGTTGCAAGTCCAAGCTGGATATCTGTTATACCAAATTCACTTTGTCTATCTTGGACCTCACCAAAAGCTTTCTGATTTAATCAAAATCAGATTAGAATTAGAATAGGCATATGAATTCATTGTCCGTACTTTAGAATTCTTCTTGCTAAACATGTATGTAGGGTAGATGTCAGCATTTTATGTTCTATGATTGACTATTCGGGCTTGCTGAGTGTTTACCTTTAATAGTGGCTCTTTTTCATGGGGAATTACGTAGGTAGTATATAATTTATTCTCCTCCATGGGCTCAACATCCAATTGCTGCCATGGTAGCATCACATAATATGTTAGAGTGCAAAGTGCAAAACTATGGGTGGGTTAAGAACATTTTGGATCTGAAAAGCTACTCTTGTCCAACTTACCCTTTTAAACAACTGCTTCAACTCCTCTCGACTTCTGTTACCTGTTTCGCCTACATTTTTGTCAAAGTTCATATTAGCAACAAAGCCTGTCCCAAATCGCATTTTTAATCGAATTGGTGTTCCTATACAACGTAGTCTTCCTTTTGCCATGATCCCTATACGATCACTTAGAACATCTGCTTCTTCCATTGAGTGAGTTGTTAGAACAATGGCTCGCCCTCTTTTTGAACTTTCTATGATGTCCCAGACATGTCTTCTAGTTAGTGGATCCATACCAGTAGTCTAAAAACTCAAATATTAGCCCACTATACTGACTGGTAGTTACTTGTTCTTGTGAAATTTGAACAAGCAGGAAATATAGGCTAGGCCAGAGAAAAAAAAAAAAAAAAAAAAAAAAAAAAAAAAAAAAAAAAAAAAATCACTCCTGTACCGGTTCATCAAGAATCACCAACTTTGGGTCACCAATAAGGGCTGCTGCAACACTGAGACGTCTTCTCATCCCTCCACTATAACTACCAGACCGGACTTTAGCTGATTTAGCCAGCTGCACATCTTCTAGTAATTTGTGAACAATCTGGTTGTGATCAAAGCTTTAGACATAGGTTCTTAATAAAAAATGAGAAGGGGGGGAGGGTGAGTTAGGTGAGATGTCTAGTAAATTTAATTTCAGTACATGGAGGTTTGTTCAATTTCATGATACATATAAACTAGCTTATAATAATAAATTACTTAGCAAAAAACAAAAGAAATATTAGAGAAATGATGGCAGCCATAAAGTGATTATAATTTAATACAACATAGTCAACATTCAATAGGCAGGGGCAAAGCCAGGAATTTAGGTTTAGGGAGGCCGATACCTCATTGAAAATATTATAGAAAAAAGTACTCTATAATATAATTATGAAAAAATAAATATATTGTTCACTCTTAATACCTTTTAAGAAGAAATTAAATTAAATAGTTTTCCTTCTGAGTCATCACCTTCTTATTTTATAAGGAATTTTCTCTTTAATTGTGGTGAAGCCACCTAAAATATTTTGCTAGAAGATTAATATGTATCATGACATTCATTAGACAAACTTTGTTATATTATAATATAACTTTCAAAAGAAAAATGGAAGGAAAAAAAAATAAAATAGCAGAGAAACAAAAGAAAAACGGCAGACGAAAATCTAGAACAAAAGATTAAAAGAGTGAAAAAGAATTTTTAATGTTATGCTTGTACAAGGAATCGATCCCATAACCTTTGATTTTAAAAAAGAACAAATGTTACCATAAATGCTTGACCACCAGAGCAAAGCAAAGTACATGTAATATTGTAGAAACAACTTTATATATACTTGAACTATGGGGCCAACTTAGAGCTTATAACAGGCCACGAATTTGGGCCATGGGGCCGGGCCTCCACCAGCCCCCCGTGGCTCTGCCCCTGTCAATAGGGAAATTTGTAAGAGATTTTACATATTAGGCTTGAGTTATTGAAGCATTTACATGAACTTGGATACTGCTGTGGATGTTAAAAAGTCTTTACTTTTTTTTTTGGAAAAAAAAAAAAAAAACTTTTTTACTTAAAGCTTTTAAATCTTTGGCTAATTGATATCAGTTTGCATATGAATGCTTATGATTTTTTTTGTACACAAAGATGAGATATATGTCACAAAAACTTTGATCTATATTGCCATATTGGGTACTTACTGTTGGGATGGAATCAGGATTTAGGCCTTTTATGTTGCAAAAAAGATCAAGGTGCTCTTCACCACTTAATACACTCCAGAGGATATCAAACTGCAGGATTTTATTGGATGTAAAAATGTCAGTTTATTTATCCTCAAGACTGTAGCAGTAGAAACTAGAAAGTGAAAGAGTTTAAACATTTACTAGGATTGTCGTATTGATAAACATAAAATACAAAGGAGAAGAAGATTTAGAAAAATACCTGAGGACATACTCCTATAATTTTTCGGATATTGGACATTCCAACAGAACTTCGAACGGAATGATCATAGATTAATGCTGTCAGCCAAATGATGTTAGTCTAGTGATTATTGGTGTATATGAATAAGGAACTGGAAGAAGCAAGGTTATGGAATTAATAAAGATAGAAGCTATATTACCGTCCCCTCCACTCACTGGTGTTATACCAGTCAAGCAGCTGATAGTTGTGGTCTTTCCAGCCCCATTATGCCCCAGGAGGCAAAAGAGCTGATCTTTAGGGAAGTTGACCCATAAGCCCTACAGAATATGAGACATGAAGCAAAAAAAAAAAAGTTAAAATGGTAGCTACTTTTACATTTCCACAGGATTTAATATTTTGTTTTTGGAAAATAATATAATGTTATTAGGCAGTCCCCCCCCACCCCCCCCCCCCTCCTTCCCTTCTTTTTCCTCTCTCCTCCCAGGCCTTGGCATAGCTACATCAGTAAAAGAAAAAGACATGAAAGATAGAAGCTCAATAGGAATGTGCATGCTTCTTTATGACTAAGGAACGTAATTGTTTTGGATGGGAAACTGAAGGATCCATCTCTCATGTTCAGATGTGAAAACGGGGAGGGAAGAAGAGACTGGGAGGAACCATATCTCTCTAGTTAGGAGTATTTGGAAGAAAATTGCAGTCCCACTCCTCTCCCCTCTTTCTTTCTGTCATTTAATTTATCATCCATGATTGATGATATGTGTTATTTAGATGAATGCTACAAGAAGAGGGGGGAGGGGGGGGGGGTGTTTGAATTTTTAGTATGAAACTTGCTAGTCACTTTTTTTTAGAATTTAAAGGAACTTAACACAAGTAAAGAAACAATGCAAGAGAGATTTTACGACAAAAACTTCCTTTAGGCCTAAAAGGATGTGAAAAACCTTGACCCCAAGGAATTTAGACTCAAACTTCCCACTTAATTAGGCCAACGATTCTGTTACAACCTATAAGGAACTTGAGCCTCTAACGAGTTCCTCAACAAACTCATGCTCCCAACAACTATTCCCTTTAATAGTTGCAGCTCTAGAACTTCCCTCAAAACTCTGTCTTGACTCAAGACTTCACTCAAAATTTTACAACAGTATACTTCCCTGAAAGTACCTTGACAGAATGGAATGGAGGAGATATCTCTAACTTCTTATCCAGTTTTCCTGGGTAAGTCTTGACAAGACCGCGTATCTGAACAGCTACATCTGGATCCACCTTACCATCATCCATAAATTTTTTTATCTTGTTTTCTTCTTTAAGGACATCTTCATCATCTGGCATGATCATCTCAGGTTTTGGAAGCCAACTTGTACGGCCAAAAATGCCACTTTCTGAAACATTAAAAATTAAGTTGATGGATGAAGTATTATAAGTAACAATTACTCTAAGAATTCCTACATAGGTGCTGTTTACTTTTTTGAATGGGAGGGAATTATACCGAGTGCCTCAAACCCTCCTCTTCCTGTCCAATATCCTGGGTTCAGAAAGTAAAATGGTGACTTGGGTATACCGTTCTCACTTGGAAGTATGTTGTCAAGATATAATGCCACGAGAAGCCACAAAAAGAAGGCTCCTATGAGCCTAATGTATATGCCATCCTGTTTGGACCATTAAGGTTAGTGAAATTGAAAACCTTCCAGTAGTTCCTCTCTTTTTTGGTATTGTATTTTTCCGGACCTACTAATTTACTCATTTAACTCTGGCATATGGACACATACCATTGTGAAGTCACATTCTTGTTGTACTTCATCTGGATCTTGAGGACAATTATTCCGTCCCTTCCAGCTCATCCCTGGATCACTGCTTGAAGCTGTCGTAAGCATATCAACTGCTCTGCCAAAGGGAATAAATGGCAATATATGCTTGATGATTTTGAATATCTTCTCATCTTGCATGTATTTTGCCAGGAACTGGAAGAATATTGGCGAACATGTAAGTTATCAAAATTTTGTGACTGACTGACGTACTGACAATGATTTTTACCTTTCCTAGTTGTCGCCAACAAAAACAGAAATGGGAAGTGACTTGCCTGTAGGGTGAAACCACCAAAAAAGATAAACACCGTTGCCTGGTTTGCTGAGCGTGACTGGCTGATAGTTGTAGACACCAAAAAGGCAATGCTCGTCTAGTATAGGTGTATAACAAGGGGTGAGGTTAGCAGCGGATATGGAAAGAACTAATGAAAAACCCCCTAAAAGCCAAAGAGACAAACAGATAAGTAAAAATGGACTTAAAACGCAATGGAAGCATACTACTAAAGTGTGTTTGGCAACCAAATTAATGTGGAATTATGAGGTAAAGTATATACATATGGAAATCCGTTAATAATTAATCACATAATTCAAGGAAATATATAATGTTTACTTATTTGGTTTATTATTATGGAGTTCTATGCTTATTATTTATGGTAATTGGGTATAGTTTGGTTATTAATTATAGCTTTCAAGTCATTAGTTAAAATTTTCGAGTTATAGTTAGAGTTTTGAATATGTAGATGTAGTATTATGCTTTTGGCTTAATAGCTATGGTATTTTAGACAAATAGTTATGACTTTCATTATTATTAATGGGGAGCCGAGATACTATCTAGACCCCCACCCCTCTAGCTATAGCAAACCCGATCCAGCACCTGCACGAGCACCAATATCCCGAGTCCTAGTGAACGCCTGAATTCGCTTCAGAAACGCAACAACATCCTTATCTAATTCCCCCAACGAAGTAAAGGAGAAAGGAAGAAAACCATAGCCAATTGCCATGCAACGCGCCCTATACTTGTCCCGCTTCCGCTGAGCTGTAGCCGACACAGCACGACCAGGAACAAAGTCAGACAACCCAGACTGTGTTAAAGGAGAAGACCCCATCAAGTCAACACATATATCAAGGCATCTGTCCCACGAATAAAGCAACACATCTGCAGGTCGAAGAGTCCCATCGTTCCCTCCACTCAACCCAACATTAACCTCCTTTCTTGCAGAAATCCCAGACTGAAAACAAATATCAACAAGGATATCACGAACAACGTTATGTCGATGTTTAATACCCACCATCCCAGCACAAGACACTGCATGATCCCCATAAATATCCCCATCAAAAACCCTTGAGCAAGCAGAACACGACGTCGAAACGGAGAACAAAGGAACACCCAACCGGTAGCAAAGAACAGAACGGTAAGCCTTACCATTCATAGTCTGACCCAACCCCGATATTGGGACCGCCCGTAACCAGGCAGAAGAGTGATCCCCCTGCTGGGACTTCCATAAGGCAACTTGACGCGGAGATAAGGAGAAAGTGGATGTTGCAGATGCAGTATCCTTCGTGAAATATATATCTGCCAATTTCTTCATGAGTTTGGGGGCAGCGATCTCACTAGGGTTACTCATAAGGTCAGTCTCCACAGTCCTCTGAAAAAGACTAAAAGCATCATCGAAGGCCGGTCCCGGACCAACAATACCTGAATTGCGAAGAAGCGTAGCCTGAAGACCAGTAGACTGCAAACGCGACGCAAGGAAAGCATAGTGCCGAATATTACCTGCTGAATAAACACCCAATCCACCATAAGCAAAAGGTAAGGTGGCAAGTCGCCATTGCCAATCACCAAAACCAGGCCCCGAAGCAGTGACAATGCACTCCAAAGAAGCCCGAAGGGGCCACATCAAAAGAAATCTTGGCCGCTTCAAAAAGATGAGGGGGACAAGTGCGCATAGCAAAGTAGAGTTTTGAAACCCCGGTACACGCACGAAGTAGTAACAACTCACATTGGGGATCATCAAGCTTATTGTTATTGTTATTGTAAAAAATAATATTGTAATACATATCCAGTGTTATTGCTGTTTTCTAGGTTATATCAGTCAAGGTTCATCTTCTTCCTTTAATTTTTATATTTCACTTAAATAGTTGAATCGTTCCCAAAATCCCATGCTATGTCAATTCACAACAAATTACTACCTCCATCCTATAAAAATGTGCTCACTTTCCTGTTTAGTTGGTCTGAAATTAGTTTGCTCCTTTCTATAAAAGACATTAATACACTATTGTATTACCATTCTCCTTCCACAACTAAAAGCCAGGGTGTTACATCCTCTCTCTTCAGTTATAATTTCTACTCTCCTTCCACACTTTTTATTAGAATAATTATTGATAATCATGCTACAACTTATTACCTAAAACTTTGTAACAAAAGAAAAGGGCATACTGTTATGTGGAGGGGTTATCCCAAAAAAAAACTGGTTTAACTTGTCCTATCAAAGTAACCATTGATACAAGAAGAAAGGAATATCTATGTACACATGTGCTAGTGATTAAATTTGGCAAGGAAAAGGGTGCAAGGTCAAATTGTGATCGTTATCCTATTTATAAAAAAACATTCATCCTTTCTTCAGGCTTTTCCTAATACTGATTGAACTCTAACAAAAAGAATTTGTAATTCCCATTCATAGCGTTTTTTGAAAAATATATATGAATATATGATTCCTTGAATAAATGAACTTACCATACTAAGTAGGTTAAGGTACATTGCAAGAAAGAGAACTAGAAAATTATTGCGCGTGAAGAATCTAAATCGAAAACGCAACCCTATGAGCATTGTGAATAATGAAACAAGGAACGTCATTATAATCTCCCATGCGAGCCAGGAAAGCCAGTAGGCAGTATCATAAAGCCCCATGATATTCATTGCCTGTCAAATAAGAACAGCGTTATTATGTGAAAAATGTGTTTTTGCCTCTCAATCTTAAACTATGGTCATAGGGCAACTCTTGTAATGTCTTTTTATTTATTTATTTATTTATTTATTTTATTATTATTATCATTTCAGGATAGGTGACTATTCTTTTTGGAAAACTATTTAGTAACTAAGGGAGTAGTTTGAAAACTTACTTGACGTAGTTTTTGTTCTTTCTCTATGATCAAGTTGCTCAATTGATTTTGGAAAACTTGCATGCTGATCAGCAGCAAACATAATTTTCCAAGATACAAAAATATCTCACCCTGAGAATTCTTGGCGGCAGGGTGAGCAAATGGCTTCAAGCCAACAGTCCAGTTGAAATTCTGATCTAAACCAGATTATTATTTCCGAAGACACAAAGAGGGAGAAAAGAAAGAGGGGATAAGATAGAACAGAAAAACTAGTTAGGGAATTGATATTCATATCTGGTATGTGAAAGGAAATGTATAATTGTAACAGAAGTGAAATCACGAAGCTGAGGAAAGAAAGGTGTGGATTGATGTACCTCCAACAAGGGTTCGAGCAATTTCTCGTTCTGCTGCAATCTGAAGGGGAATTTGGAATTTAAGAAAGGTTTCTTGAGATGGAATTATATATACCACTGAGGAGTTGGGCTGAATTCCATAGCTGATGACTGTAGTGTTTCTGTCAACCAGATGCAGTGCTCCTGGGCTAACTGCAGGGTTGTTAAGGAACCATGCATCTGTTTCATTTTGATTTTTGAACGATTTAACCTGCATTCCCAATATTCTTGATCATCATCAAATCAGTCAGAAATATCAACAGATCAATAATCAAAAACGACAATACACACATGCCTTAGTTCTACTACATTTTCTGGCGTAAACCGAAACTCCTAGCAAATATTTTTTTACAGAACACTAAATCTCAAACCCAAAATGATACTACTATAGATACATGAATAATCGATTGTTAGTTTGTGTAGGCTAAAGTTAGGTACTCCCTTCTAACACGTGCTGCAAGGCCTGCAAGAGGTGTATGTATACATGATTGTTTGAGCCTTTATGAATCAGTATGAAAGTTACTTGGATTAATTGTTCTAAATGCTGATATCATTTGAAGTACATGCGCCCCATTCCCTTGTCTTTCTATATTATTATGTGTGAAGTCTCTCATTAACTCATAATTGAATTACATCGAATTCAAGAATTTAAGGGGAGGATTGAGCATTTCGTAATAAGTTTGTAAATGGGCATGTGTCATGTGCATTATGGAGGGAGGCTACAAATCGTAGAGAGCAAAATTGAAAATCTACCCCAAAGCTATCAAACAATAAACGCAATTATTCTTCAATGGCAACTCTATTTGAATTTGGGACTCATGTATGCAGGGTATACATGTTTAGGTAACATAGGTGTTAGGTTCCATATGCTCCAAAAGCTTGATTTTGCTCATCATTCACATTTCAAGCACAATAGACGATCACATGTGGGTGTATAATACAGATTAAAATAACGGGCTTCCTCATGCAGTCATGCATGAAACATACCTTGGAGGGTGGAATGGGTCGACCTGGATTATTAGCCATAATAGCGTCAATAATGCGTTGAATCCTACGTTTGGAGTCCGATGACTCGCCACTCCAAACAAAGTCATAGCAGGGCTTCCTTACACTAAACTCCTCGCAAGGAGGAATTGGCTGCAAGAGGTTTTTGTACGCTGGGTCAGGCATGTCACGGTTCTCTGGGTTTGCCCTGTTTATGGCGTGATTCATCGTGTTTATGACAGCCATTAGGGAGATATAGAAGAAAGTCATGAAGAATAGTTGGAACAAGGTGTTATTTTTCCTCCTTGCCAACCACATATTTTTCTTTAATAGGGCCTTCATTTGCTGCATTAGCAGAGGGATCCCGCTTTGTAACTTCATTTTCTCGATTTAAAACTATAATCCAAAAACAAGCTCAAATATAACAAAAAGAAAACAAAGAGATTAAAAAACCTTGTTAATCAAACATATGAAATATATATACGTGTGCAGAGGACTAGCTACATTATAGTTTATCTAAATGGTTAAAATTATAGCTATTTCCTTAGCCACTGATTTTCTGTTTTTTTTTTTTTTTTTTTTTTTTTTTTTAAAAAAGTGAATAATTTCTTGTCCGCAAAAGAAGTCCAACAAATCATAAACAAACAATTTGTTAACCATATATAAACTGTTGATCTTTGTAAGTTTTTTATTTTAGGAAGTTGATCGTACGTATCTAAGAGAGGAGGAAATATAGAGGCAGCAACAATTTTAACAATCAGAGATTTGCTGGGCTGGTTTAAGATCTAGAGGTCATGGAGGTTTCAACACACGGACGTGCCGGCTTTGCTACACAGGCTAATGCTTTGTTTAGAAAGAGTCTTACTTATCAGGTATGTGCTCTCTCTTATTCCATCCATAAATGCGTCTGCATTATCAGCAACATCATTAGAACTTCCATGATAAATTGATAATGAATGCATGTGACTAGTTTCAAGATAATATGCGCGCCATTTTTATTTATTATTATAAATGATTCTCACGTTATTCTAAATAATAAGCGTGCCTTTTTTTTTTGGAACGCTTATTAGGAAGAGTATAAAAGTTACATGTTATGAATTCAAATGGGAGAAAAATGTTATATCAGGATAATCAGATATCTTCCAATTAGTATAGAATATCTCAGATGTAAAGATAAGGCAGAGAATCAGAGATAATAATAAGTTAATTAAGTCATTAAGGTTTTTGAATACACAACTAATCATATTAATGATGAAGGTTGAAAGCAAATATTTTTCCCCTCTGTATTGATATACTTTTGGTTTTGGGCATGTGATTTTCTAATGCAGAAACGAAATAGGACACAAAACCTCTGCCTTTTGATAACTCCGCTGGTAATAGTAGGATTCTTTGCAACTGTGGAGCATTATATGAGGACATTGACTGAGTCTAGCGAGAGTCTAAGGTCGATGGAGGTAAGGAACCCTGTCCCTTGGCCACCAGCTCTGAAAATTCCACCCGATGCCAAACGTGCTGTCCGATCCAAATATATGCCTTTTTCTGACTTGCCGCCTCCTTCTTGTCGAGTATATGGCAATTGCCCTGTCACTTTTCTTCTCACCGGCACCAATCAATCCTTTGTCATGAGTACACTCTCTCCCTCTATCTCTTTCTCTATCTAATTTGGTAGGGAGTAGATACAAAAAACATATTTATGGACGTAGAGAGCATGTCATACTATATTGTTGGATTAAATAAATCAATAATTTAATCCATTCATCATCACTATGAGGCCCACTTTTAAGAAAAAGTTATTGATTTATGAGAATGTCATGTGATAAACAATAAAGTAGTTATGTATCTCGGAGATGAATTTGCATTTTCTCATTAAATACTACTCCGTAATATACTATATCATGCATGACAATAGCTTATAAAATGTTAATGACAGGTATGGCAGAAAAAATGTTTCCACCAGTGTCTATTGAAAACCCTTCTGACATGGATCGTTTAGTCTTGGTAAATATGCATACTTGATTTTTTGTTAATTAAGTTGGATACAAATTACAAAGAGCATTTCATAATAGCTTTGATAAAACGTGTACCAGGCAACTCCAGCTCCCTTATTTCAATCAAACTATCTGGTTGATGTTGCCTTCCAACCTGATTCGCCTTCACCCCTCTATTATCTGCAAACCAAGTGCAAGGCCAATTCTTCATTCCCTTATCCGACTGGGAAAGGTATCACAAACTTATTTTCTTCTGACCCTTCAATTTCTCCTAGTAATAGTATGTTTAGATCTTGTATACTCCTTAATTATTGCTTATATTACAATTTGTTATGTTTTCAGAAGTAAAATGCGTGGAAGGATTAAAATTGTGGCGGAACAGCTCATCTGAAATAAACAAGGAAGTATACAAAGGCAACGGAGCAAACAAACAAAACAAGATTGATAACAATTTCGGTGCAGGTAGTATAATAAATTGATATAACACATTTTGCTGCTATAATAGACCTTACTCTAACTCAATATTTTTTTATAAAAGTTAAGACTCCTTAGATTTTAAAAATTATGAATCAGTTTAATTTTGTTCATAAAATGTATACTTACATAAAGAAAAAGTAAGATCATCAATTCTTGTATGAGGATAGAAGTCATATAAGATATAACAAGCAAACAACTATACCCAAGAGTATTCTTTGTTTTTTAGATGAAAAGTCTAAGTAGCAGAATGTGGCAAATACTTTAATGATAAGAATCTCTTTTTGCTGGTTTACTTTGTGACAGCACTTGATTTCTCGAACACCAACAAAGCCAACTTCAATGTGATTCTTTGGAGCGAACCAAGTAGAGCTGAATCCGCGTTTTCTTTTAATTTTTCTCGTTTGCCAAGGTTAGTGAATATGGTAAGGTTCCACACATTATGTTTCCAAAAATTTACCCTTTGTGTTTAACATCAAGATTGATTGGGTTATCAAGCTTTTCATGCTAACAAACCATGAAAGATCTAAGTATTTTGATTTATTGGCGCTTTTAGGACTATAAACTATCACTAGCATAGGGTTGTCATGATAATTAATAATAATAAAAAAAATTATAACAGCAATTTATGGTTTGAACTACAAACCACATTGAGCTGTGGTTTGGTTTCATAAATTATGGAAACTGCACCTTAACTACAAACCGCTCCAAAAAAAAAAGGTTTGTTTTGTGGTTTGGTGCATTCTGAATACTCCAAACATCCCTAATTTCTTCTCAAACGCTAAATCTAATTGGTAAGATAATATGCATGTGCAGGCATCCAATGTGTATCTGCAGGCTTTGCAAGGATCTGGTACCCAGATACTGTTTGAGTTCATGAAAGAAGTACCAACCACACTTAGAATAAGTGCTTCGTTATCAGAAATTGTGGATTTATTTTTGCGTATGACAACTTTTGGACTACTTCTATTTCCAGTAACTGTAAGAATGCTAGTATTTAAAGAATTACCGAGTGGTTATGCTTGAATGCTCCATATACATTTTGTAGACAATGCTACTATGAAGAGTTGTTTCCGGAAGTAGTATATTTTAATAAGAAAAGAGGGCTGGTACACCGCACACAAACAGAAGAAAGAAAATTTGCATGATTTCAGTAATTACACTGTATTACAGTTTAAAGATGTGATCCAGTACAATTATATCATGAACATTTACTTCTTTGCAGGTGCATCAGCCCTCCTGAAATACTGTATTTTGTGTATGTGGTCTGAACAAACTGACTATACTGCTTTATCAGATTTCTACATGCTAACTCAAAGCATGTCTTTGTAATCAGGTCTTAGTAACCTTGATTGTGTATGAAAAGGAAAAAAATTTGCGAATCATGATGAAAATGCATGGGCTTCGTGACACAGCATATTGGTCGATTACTTATATATACTGCCTTTTTGTTTCTCTTCTTTTTGTACAATTCTTTCTCATTGCTGGCAAGTTATCAGGTAAGCATATTATCACTTTTAGTTTCGACATCTCACCCCATTCTATGTCTTATTAGTCACAGCAGTAAACGCGCTTAAAATTTTACAGGTTTATATTTCTTCACCAAGAATGACTACATCGTACAATCTATGTTCTATTTCGTCCATGTAAACTGGCAGATTTCATTTGCATTTGTGATTGCTGCTCTTGTGCCTACAGTGAAGACTGCTCAAGGTTTGATTATCACAATTCCATGTGCCAATTTGTTTGAATTATTAATTTCTTCTACTCTATAAGTTATTTATGATCATGCTTGTGTTATCACTTTTCAGTGGTTTGCTCGACGTTCATGATGCTATGTTGTGTCATTGCATTTTATGTTGTCACAAAATTTTTTGAATCTTCTGATTTTTCAAGTAAGTAAACTCTACTGGACCTCCATATCTCTCAGGTATATATGTGCTCCTTTTATGTTAGTACAAGTATAATACATGTTCATCCCATTCCTGCCTCTAGGAGTGAAACGAAATTCCTAAAAATCAGCTAAGAATGGAATTTCCTTACTTTTGTCATTTAAGTGTTTCAAATAATATGCCTAGAAATAGTTGTCACTAGCTTAAATCCCATACCACGCACGATTATTAAATTTTTAACAAGTCATGTCATACCAGAGACATCAAGGTTATTGATACATTGGATTTTATAAAGAAAATGAAAGAAATTTAAGGACTACGAGATTTTATATGCAAATAAAAATTTTAGGTTAGTACCCGTGCTATATACTTAACACACTTTAACTGGCAACACACACATAATAACATTCGTTTAATTTTGTATAGGTTATTGCAAACATATATTATATTGAAGTTGGGAAGGAAAATCATATTCTTTAAAAATTATCTATTTTTTTATTGATTAGTTAAGATTACATACTTTATTATCGTAGATTTTTCCACATGCTATTATTGATATGACTTTTAAGAATAGAAAATTGCAATAGATACATTTATATGTTACCAAATTGATATTTTAAAATTGAAATAAATTTTATTGTCAAAATTGCGAAAATGTAAAAACAATATTATATAGGTTATAAAATAGATGTCATAAAGAAGTGGGAAAAAAAAAAAAAGAGGTAAGATGAAAAAGGCCGGAAAATTTTTAACCAAGAGATTACATTTGTCATTTCTGCAGTCGTCTTTAGTTATTGATTATTGATGCTGTCCTAACCCATAGAATTCTAAGATTTGAGTGATTTAACCCAAATCACCTTTGTAATAGTGGCGTTTTATTCACCAGTAAATTTATATGCAACAAGAACAATGATGATCTGTATTGGTTTCAAATTTGTTTACTCAAACTGTGCCTTTTACTTTACCATGTTAGTTACAGCTGCTAATATAAAACTCAATTTTGAAGCATTATTTTAATGTTGTACTAAGTTTTTGTATAATTCTGATTGTCCAGGTAAAACCATAGTCCTAGTTGAGATGTTTCCTGGGTTTGCGCTGTACCGAGGAGTGTACGAATTCCAAAAATATGCTTCATTTGCTAGGAGTGGTGCTGGTGTTGGAATGCAGTGGAAGAACTTAAATGACCCAGGAAATGGGTTGAAAACAGCTATGGCCATCATGATGGTTGAGTGGAAGGTTATGCTTTTGTTAGCTTATTATCTTGACCAGGTTGTATCCACTGGGAGTGGCAGGACTAAAAGTCCATTATACTTCTTACACTGCTTGAGAAGGAAACCTAAATTCCAGCAGCAAAATATGCAGAGATATACTTCTCAACTATCCTCTTCAAATGATCATAGTGATGTGGCCCAAGAGGTATTAATTTTAATTCATATTGATAAGCTTCTTTATCCATGCCATCAGCTGTCAATGATCCGGATTCATGCGCCTTTGTTTTAGAACGAAAAATTGCCTTGTTTAACAATTGCATTTCTGTCTTCTGGCAGAGACAAAAGGTAGAACAATTGATGCAAGAAGGAAGCACAAGCCACACGGCTATCTGTGATAATATCAAGAAGATTTACCCAGGAAGAGATGGAAATCCAGCAAAGGCTGCAGTTAGAGGGTTGTCTCTTGCTTTAGCAAAGTCAGAATGCTTTGGCATGCTTGGTCCTAATGGTGCAGGAAAAACTTCATTCATCAGTATGGTCAGTACAAATCTACTGTAATACTGTTTATCTATGTTGTGCGTGTAGTATTATCCTTTCAAATGGATGTAATGATAGAATAATGTGTCAGATTATACTCTCGAGCCATGATTTTTTTTATGGGGCTTAACTTCTAATACATCTCAACAGATGATTGGTCTCACGGATCCAACTTCAGGCACTGCATACATTGAAGGTTTAGACATAACAACTTCCATGGATGATGTATACACTTGCATGGGAGTTTGCCCTCAGTTTGAGTAAGTTTGAATATTGCCTTTTTGCTTTAAAAGTTTGGTCAGTTGCTCATTTTTCTTTGATAATGGCATTTCACTACCTTTTGTCTCTCACGTTCTGTAGTTAAAGTCTTGAAATTTCAATATATTTTGCACCTGCAGCCTGCTGTGGGAGACACTTACTGGAAGGGAGCATCTATACTTTTACGGTAGACTTAAGAATCTTAAAGGTTCTGTATTGACACGGGTACTTCGCTTGTTCTCTTGGGAAAAAAATATATGGCATGTCATTGAATGCATACCGTAAGTAGTTAATAATGTTTTACGTTGCCTTCTTTACAGCAAATAACATTTTCCTACTCCATTCTATTGTTTAGGCAGTTGAAGAGGCTCTCAAAGATGTTAACTTATTCCATGGTGGTATTGCTGACAAACATTCTGGCAAATATAGTGGAGGCATGAAGAGAAGGCTCAGTGTTGCAATTTCACTAATCGGCGATCCTAAGGTTTCCTTTAAGAATTTTTCATTCCTGGCCTCTTTTGTTTATATTGCCGATTGTTCAATTTTATCATGATTTACCTCGTCTAAGATAAATTTTCCTCCCAATTATGGATTTCTGTCCTTACAATTTTTTTTATGTCACCGATCCTATCCACTGTAATATGCTTGTGTCTTGGTCCAAAGGTTTTATCCTAATACCACTATTTTGGATCTTTCGAAGATTGTTTACCTGGATGAACCAAGTACTGGATTAGACCCAGCTTCCAGAAATAGTCTATGGAATGTTGTGAAGCATGCAAAGAAAAATCGTACAATTCTTCTCACAAGTGAGTAATCTAGTGCTACTTTACAACCATTAATTTCTTAGGACTTAGTCTTATTAATATACATAAAAAAAAAATATTATATATCTAGTCTAAAGATAATCACTTGTCTCAGAAGCAGTTAGAACCATTGATTTCTTAGGACTAAGTCTCATTATTATACAACCACTGATTTCTTAGTACTTAAGTCTGTTAAGCAGTCAGAAGCTTCAAGAAATACTATAGCTACTGGTTTCTCTTCATTGTGGAATATGATAATAATCTTGACATAATAGTAGACCAGGGCACATCATCTTTGTATTGAGTTACTCAAATCTATTAGGAAATGGAAAGTGACAATTGAAGCTATGTACGTCATATTATATTGTTGATGCAATGTTTTTTCATTGGCTGCATCTGTTGAACTCTCTTAAGGCCACTGTAATTAGTACTATGTGATATGGTAACAAAAGTGATCAATATCGCCGTACTGCCCTTTCTTCTTGGAAAGGGATATCTCAAAGTAAACTAGTCAATTTAGGATGTGGCTAATTCTGACAGTTTTTGTAATATTTGTCAGCTCATTCAATGGAAGAGGCTGAGGCTCTTTGTGATAGACTAGGAGTCTTTGTTGATGGCGCTCTGCGTTGTGTAGGAAATCCAAAAGAGGCAAGTTTCATAGTATCATATAGTGTTTTCATTGCAACTTAATTTTATTATTTCAATATGTTTTAGTTGAGTTGGATTTCATTTCAGTACAGTTCAATTTTCTTAAGTTTTGCAACTTGAATTTAGTTCAACTATTCCTGTTCTAATCCTGTCATTACAATATTATTAAATCGTTGGTTCCTTTGGTGTGTACCTGAAAAACATTGGTTGCATTGATGGTATATGACAGCTGAAGGCTAGATATGGAGGTTACTTCATCTTTACAATGACTACAGTGCAAGGGAATGATACAGAAGTGGAGGATATGGTACTAAAACTTTGCAACAATGCTAATAAAACCTACCATTTGGGCGGTACTCAAAAATTTGAGCTGCCCAAGCATGAAGTCCGCCTCGCTGATATTTTCCAGCTTGTTGAGGATGCAAAAAGCAGGTTTCCTGTTCAGGCTTGGGCTCTGGCTGACACCACCCTTGAGGATGTCTTCATCAAGGTCACTTGTCAGGCTCAAGCTGTTTCGTCTGATGAGTAATTCTTCTTACCATCTACGTTTTCAAGCTCTAATTTGACTTCTTTCTTTACGTCTTCAAAGATAAGTATTAGGTACAATGTTACCAGCTGGTAGTGCAACATGCTCCACAATTTTCCCCTTTTAGGTGTAGTATTTTTTGTAATGGTGTTGTGCCTAAGTTGTAGTAAAAACAGTTCATTGGATGTGACTGACAGTTTTGAGCTGCTCCACATTTATCGTAACATTAAACCAATGTTTTTATGTATTGATCTAATGAAGTGATTTTAACCAACAGTGAATGACAGTGTCTGCGTTATTGACTAGTCCGGGACAAAATGTTCTCATTTCACTTTCCTACCAGTTTTGGTGCAAAATAGCCGCAGTCAATCAATGACAATAATTTGCTCTAAGAATGATAGGTCCCTGTGATGATCAATTGACAATAGCCTTACAGAAAATCTACCAATTTACACGTTTACTAAGGATCGTAATTTGCCTATAAATCAAAGCAATTTTCTGACAAATGACTAGGATCAATCACCCTTCCAACAACTCCCTTTGGCTGCCCCGAGGACCTTGGATGAGCCACAGGGAGGCTCGGCTGTACATTTGAAGGAACTGGCCTCTCAGCTGAATGTCCTGAAATGCAGAGTGCGCCTGAATCATTTTGTTCCCAATGTACTTCGACCATAATGCCTCGAGGATTATCTGCAGTCTCTGATCCTGGAACCGCCACGTACTTGGATCCCACAGGTATCTGCATTTCTAGGAAATTATTTAGTGCCTATAAATATAATTTCTAGAATAAATAATAATCTTCAATTGGATCACTGATAAAAGTTCTCAGATTTGGAAGAATAGTCTTGACTGTAATTGTACTTGCCTGAACAAGTGCCCCAGATGATAGAGTAAGAGTCTCCATTCGTCCCTCAGCCGCAGCAGTTTCCAACTCTGCCTGCCTTGCAATATTCAGAAAAACTTCTTCCAAAGTTGTCAAACCAAGTTGAATGTCTGCTACACCAAATTCTTGCTGTTTATCTTGGAGCTCTCCAAGAGTTCCCTGAAAAAAAAAAAAAAAAAACCCTTGAAAATTGCTTGCTATTTGAGGGCAAGTTATGGCCATGGCGTATCATATAGTTATAGTACACAGGTACATCATATATGCTTCATGACTTCATGTGATGCGGCAACCTTCTAGGGATGCAATTTAGGATGGACATATTTCCTTTTTAAATTGTTGTCACATCACTTGAAAGCATGTGTTATAAGGTCTCTTTGTAACGATGTATCTTTACTCATTGAATCAAAGGGTGCTTACCACCAAAAGGGGCTCTTTCTCACGGGGGATTACAAATGTAAGAAATGCATTGCTCTCCTCCTTCGGGAAGACTCCCAAATGCTGTCAAAACCATACATGAAACAAGTTACTTCTGCAAAGATAGAAAAACAAGCCCTTTATAAAAAAAAAAATAGCAAGTAGTACACTAGTACTGTAACTTACATGGCTAAAGAATCTCTTCACTGTCTCCTTGTGAGATGAATTTGCTGCTGAGTTTCCATTTACAAAGCTCAAGTTAGCAACAAAACCAGATCCAAATTGCGACTTCAATCTGATTGAACTTCCAATACAGCGGAGCCTCCCCTTGGCCATGATACCTATGCGATCCCCTAATATATCAGCTTCTTCCATTGAATGTGTTGTTAGAATGACAACCCGTCCCCTCTTTGCATTTTCTATTATGTCCCATACATGCCTCCTGCTTATTGGATCCATACCTGTAGTCTGCAATTCGAACAAAATATCTTTTGTAAATGCTTCAGAACTTTCATGGAAATCCTTAAAAATGAAATTAGTTGACTAGCAATACTACAGTACTATATTTCACTGCTGTAATATTGTATTTTACCGGTTCATCCAAAATCACTAATTTTGGGTCGCCAAGGAGAGCAGATGCAACACTAAGGCGGCGCCTCATTCCTCCACTGTAACTACCAGTTCTCACTTTGGCTGAATTTGTTAGTCTCACTTCCTCCAGAGATTTCTTTACAGCCTTATTTAACATGCAAAAATATATAAGCTCTTCACACAATGTAACATATCAGGCATGTAGAAAAGTTCTGCATTAAAGTCTACGGAAAAACCTCTTTAATTGATGCAGGCAGTAGGCCTTTTATTCTAGCTAACAGCTGAAGATGCTCTTCACCAGTCAGTTCATTCCAAAGAACGTCAAACTAAGAGAAATAGCAGAAAATGCATGAGAGTCGAACTTCTTTTTATACTTTACAGCATTCTGATAGGGCCATAAAAAAGTATTACCTGAGGACAGAGACCTATAATTTTTCGAATATTTGACATTCCAGCTGAGTTTCTGATGGAATTTCCATATATTAAAGCTGTGAATTCAATCAGTTACAGTAGAGATAGTCGATCAATAATCCTTCTTAAACAAGAAAGTCTAAACAAGTAAAGAGTAATCAGACAGCTTATACCATCTCCTGCTGTCACTGAGGTTATGCCAGTCAAACAATTGATTGTAGTCGTCTTTCCAGCTCCATTTGATCCCAAGAGACAAAAGAGTTGATCTGTAGGCAAGTTTACATATAAACCCTGATAAAAACAAGCTGAAAGTCTGGTCAGAAAATTTATGTGACAGAAGAAATACATTCTGTAAATTAAAGTTTCCTCTTCAATCCCTTTCTGTAAGCCAAAACTCAAGGAATACATTCTTTTCATTTAGTTATCATATAACTAAGGGTGGAAATCGGCTAAAAGTTTCTTGGAGTAGAATGTCTTGGAGATAAAAATGATACCTTGATGGCATGGAAAGGATCAGTTTTTTGGCACTTACAGCAGCAACCAAAGTTCAATTTTCCAGGATATATCTTCACTAGACCACGGATCTGAACAGCAATGTTAGAATCAATTTCATTTGATTTCATTTGCTGCTTCACAACAATTTCCTCCTCAAGCACATCTGTGTCATCTGGAGTAATATCGACATATGCAGAATCTGAATCGCAGCAGCCACATAAAACACCTAATCAAAGACACATAATCATGGGAAAGAGGTCAGAAGTTTTCTTTACCAACTATACTATGAGATACATACATATCAAAAGGAAGCTCAAGTTTTTGTACCTTGAGGCTTATTTTCCCCTTTCCCTATCCAGTATCTTGGGTTCAGAAAGTAGAGTAATGATTTCCTCGTACCATTGGGGCTAGGCATTACATTATCCAAGTACAACGCCAAAAGAAACCAGAACACGAAAGTATATAGGAGCCGAATGTAGATATCATTCTGCATAAGGATGCAAATGATAAAGGGAAAAGATTCAGAGAACATTTAGTCTGTACATGCATAAAGCTGAACAAAAGCACAGCGATCCAGCCTATCTCTTACAAAGTACATGTCATATATAATATATAATTTTTGGAACAATATTGCTTTTAACATACTTAGGAGAGTAAAGTTTCAACCGATACAGAGTTTATGTTAAGAGAAAACTAGAACTTGTTAAAGTATATGAGATTATGAATGTATGAGGTTACGCATCATAGACACCAATCTATCATGTAGTAAAAACATATAATTATATTGAAAGTTGGAAATTATACTTTATGGCAAATAAAACATACCATTGTAAAGTAACAATTAGAATGACCAGTGGGACACTTCATTCGTTTACTCCAGCTAATCACAGGAATATCATGTGATTCAGTTGCATCGTGGAGCATTTCGAGGGCATGGGATAGCAGAGCTGGTGGGAGAAAATATAATTTGCGAGATTTTTTAGAGGGCTCAGCTGCAAGAGCTGCAAACTGCAACATCAAATTTGTGCATTAAAAACACATAGGGTAATTAGAGTACTACAAATTTCTGCTCCAGAACTTAGAACACTGAAGTACCTGTGAAATGATTCCAATCAGAAAAATCCAGAATCCGGCTCTATAAGCAGAAGAAGTCTTGCCAAGAAAAGCAGATAGCAGGAAGGCAAAACCGGTCTAGTATAAAAACATATCCGAAGAAAATGAGAGAAAAATCAGAGGAAAAAACAACAAAGGATGAATCGAAAGTCATTTTATGTATAAGAGATACGAAATGTACCATATTCAACTGAAAAAGGAAGAAAAGAAAAAACAATACTGCAAAACTGTTATGCAAGAAGAATTGGAACTGTAATATCATCCCAGAGAGGATAATCCAGAGCGATGAAATTAGTATGACAAAGGTCTCCCAAACAAGCCACGAGAGCCAATAAGCAGAATCGTAGAGCCCCATTATATTCATGGCCTGAGAAACCAGATAGTAGGATAAGAATCAATGCATTGTCAGATTATCAGAAGTTAAATATCTGGAGTTTCAGACTTTTACAATCGAGTTCTTTCCTTCCTCTATGAGTTTAGAGTGTTACCTGCCGTAGTTTCAGTTCCTTCTCCAGGACAATAGAGCTTATTTGAAACACAAAAGGAAACATGGAAACCGTGAACAAGAACAACGGCGCAATAAGTCCATAGGCAGTAAAGGATCTATCTAGAAGAGTTGCTGCAGGATGTGGAAATTCCTTCAATCCGACAGTCCAGCTAAAACTTTGATCTAAGGCAAAGATGTTCAGAATGTAAGACACATTTCAGAGATCATAAAATGTCACACTTGTCAATGATACAGAACTACTGCAAATGATACCTGCCAAAACTGATCTAGCGAGTTCACGTTCAACAGCAATTTGAAGTGGTATTTGAAACTTCATTATAGGAGTTTCAATCTTGCCACTTTTTTCTGTAGTTTTATAATTAGTTTGGATTCCATAGCCCATAACACTAGCACTTTTCTCAACAAAATGCAGGGCTGCAGGGCAACGTGAGGGATCGCGAAAAAGCCAGGCATCAACATCAGCCGGTGTTCTAAATGATAAAACCTGAATGTTCATACATATACACAATGAACCATTTTAAGAAAATGTCTAGTGTAATTTCATAGTCACCTTCAAAATTCAGTTACATAAGCCCTCCCTTTATAATTTCTCATCTTTAATGTGATACAAAAATAATATTGATTTTAAGCATTGCTATCTCTATTTGAACTGAAATTATTTTAACTGATTTAAAGACGAGCACCATGTGACAAACATAATGTACTATAGTATACTCTTTTGAGGTGGTAACATACTACATGAGGGTTAAAAAAAATAAAAATAAATACATTAATCAAAGCAAGCTCCTTACTTTAACTTTCATTCCATTAATCCATTCCTTTCTTTTCCTATATAATCCTTAAAAAATCAAAGCAAGCTCCAAATTTCAAGAACTAAGGTACAAAAAACCAAACAATAATTTCAACTCAAATTCCCCAAAAACTTATATAAGCACCCTTTCAAAACTATATGGTACTCTGTATTTCATTTTTTTCACAACTGAAACAGTTCAATTTCACACTTGTGAATACATATAACTTCAACCATACCATCTCATTATTAAAAAGAAAAAATCATTAAAAAAAACATATGAAATACAGATTTAAACAAATCGAATAAGATCCCACAAGTACATTTTTTTTTACTCAAGTATAAAGTATAATTCAGCAAACATACATAGATTAAAACAAATGAATAGTTTAAAAATTGAAGTGTATCGTCTAACATTACCGTACATCATGCATGTAAAATTGTAAAAACAAAACAAAGAGACGGTAAAAAAATAAGTGTAGGACAGTAATTTAACCTTGTGGGAAGGAATAGGACGTCCAGGATTATTAGCCATGATACGAGACACAATAAGTTGTGCCTTGTCACTTGAATCGCCACTCCACACGAAGTCATAACACGGCCGTCGAATGTGGAACTTGGTTTCACACGGCGGAATAGACGGCGAGACCACCGCCTTTGGGTCCCTAACCTCCGGCTCAAAAGGTGAATAACGGCTAACCTTGTCGACGGCGAAAAGGAAAAAAAGGAAGATGAATGGTGCAACAAGTTGTAGCAATGAGGAGCGCTTGCTCCTCATTGCTAGCCATAAGTTCTTCCTAACAAGAGCATTAACTTGTTGGATCATCAATGGGAACCCTCCTCTTAGTGTCCCCATTTTTTGTGTGTGAAAAGGGAGCTTATGTTGGGATGTTGAGGAGTTTTTATTATACTCTATTAAGTCATGAGTACTTGTACTTGTATATAGTAATCGTTCCGTCCACACATAATCTTCTTGTTTGAAAATTTTTGACGGTAATTCGCGTCAATGTAAATGTGTGATAAGGTGAAGAATTAATGGATTAAGAGTAATGCTATATGTATCTCTAAGGGCTATATATAATTATTAAATACATTCTTAAAATGGTATAAAATTAGGAATTAATGACAAAAATACGCGTAAATCAGTGAAATTAGTGTTTATATTTTTATGATTTCTAAATTTTTACGATTTTCTAGTGTGTATTTAATGCTTATATGTAGCCCTAAGGGCTATGCATAGTATTTTCCATAAATTAATGTGTACATTACTAATAAGAAAATATATGAATAAATGATGGGTTACTAATACAATGAACTAAAATCACAAACAAGAGTGGGGGATAGCTCAAGTGGTTAGAGTTTCCCTTCCGATTCCAGGAGATTTTGGGATCGATTTTCACCCCGGACTTGTGGCTTTCTTAAATCACAAAACAAAACTTGTGAGGGTATGTAATTTGTATAGGTGATTCTGGAAAGCATTCCTTGTTTGGGAATTTCTAAAATTGAACCTATTCATTTCTAGAGAGTACTGACTAATCACTTAGGCCTTGTTTAGTTCACCTTATTTTTGCTTATCTGAACTTATCTGATCTGATCTGGTCTTATCTGATCTGATTTCTGATTTGACCAAACTTTAACCTTAAATGTACGATGATCTGTAAGGAAAAATTATATCTGAACTTATCTGATCTGATCTGGTTTGATCTGATTTGATCTTATTATCTAATTTGGCCAAACTTTGACCTTAAGTGTACGATAATCTGTAAAGAAAAAATATATCAAGTGGGATCTTGTTAGATTCGTAATAATGTGTATTTTATTAATATGTAATTTTCATAATTTTTTTCATTACAAAATTAAAAATATTTAGTGATAAAAAATTGCACATAAAATGATGATCTAATCTGAACTTATTTTTTCTGATATGATCTTAACTTATTTTTTTTGAAATAAGTAAAAATAAGTTGAATTAAATCAGGCCTTACTCAGTCTATTGCCAGCAATCGATTGCTACATATAACTGATTTTAGCTTTACTTATTTTTATCGGTTCACTAGGAGTTACTTCTATTTACTAAGTGAACCAGTTTCATTTTATTGATTAAAATTGATTTGTATTTTCCCATAGTTGACTTTCTCAAATTGCAGTTAAATTTACCACAATTTAAGGTACTTATCAATTTGCCACTTTTTAAGGAAAATTTGGAACACTAAGAAAATATTGATATCAGATCTTTGTTGATAGTCTTAACTCTTAAGATATAGTCTTATGATGTTTGAATTTTTATTTATTTTTGTTCATATGGGGGCATATACTTGTACTTTGTATATTCTAACTTATTGGAGCTATAAGTACTTTACATGTGAATAGTCAATAAGTATCAAATTTGGGCTTGATTGGTACATGTCAATTGACAATTGTCATGGCCACATACACATTTCATGTGTACGTACTAGTTTTCGTATGTATGTTACAACTGATTCAATGTGCCTCGAATGTAAGTATGTAACAAACACATTTGGTTTTATTGACACATATTGAGGTACATATCAAACTTTGTATGTATGTCATGTGTCATGCCTCAAGGTTTAAACACTTATGACAATTTAAGCATCATAAAAATTCTTTTAAAATTTATATAAATTGATACTCAATATTGCTCTGATATTTTCTTTTTGCATGTCACAAATCTTTTGAGAAATTGCTTAGATTTTTAAAGAATTAGGAATTATGCATACCACATTCATCCTATATTAATTTAATAACTTTTAAATTATGAAATAGTGACGATTTTTCTCCATGCAATATAAAAGGAAGCTACACTTTTAGAATATTAGAGGCACATATTAATTACTTAATAATTACCATGTTTCTAACAAAAAAAAAAAACTTAACTACCATAAATAGTTTTGAAAATATAAAAATGGAAACATAAATAATTTTCCACTGAAGTGAGACGAGCTATTCGTACAGTCGTAATTATTTAACAACCGTACATACGTACGTTACATGAGGTTGTTTAAGTTAGCGACTACAAGAGACTTGAAAGAGAAGAGAGAAAGTCACGAGGTAGTGGAAGTTTAGAGAAAACAAGTCTGATCTCAGACGACAAAAAGGGCATGCGTTACAAGAGGCTACAAAATCGTACGTAAGACATTGTTGAGATTTTTAATCACTAGAAAGCGACTACTGAAAACCTTAATCAAACCCCTGAAATTCTCCTGCTTCTTCTGCAGAAATTCTCCTTCTTTCTGTTTTTTTCTACTTTTGAATTTTATGAGTTCTTGTTTTGAAGATAAAAATGGCAAATGCATCCCCTTCAAAAGCGAGTTATTGGGCTCAGTCTAATGCCCTTCTAAGGAAGAACTTGACTTATCAGGTTCACCCTTCTTCTCCATTACAAAAGAGTGTTTTGATTTATTATTTTTTTTGATTGATTTTAATCAATTTGATTATCAGTGTATGAATTGTGTGATTGATATGTATGATCAAGTGAAAAGGAAATTTTGGTCTTTGGAATTCAATTCCCATGTTTTTATTCAATGTAAAAATGAATTCTTGATTAAAATGAACTTGGGTTAATGAGCAGAATATGACAACATTGCATAAAATTGGTAATTGGGTTTTTACTTGGTGTATAAATATCATGTAATTGTATAGATATAGGTTGGCCATGAATAATTTTGTATTATATGGGGAATTATTGAATAATAATCTCTATTTGCTTAATGTATATGGTGATTAATTTAATTGGATTACTTTGTAGAATTACAGAAGAATACATTTCTAAGTTTTTGAATGATAATGTGATTGCAGAAAAGGAACAAATGTCAGAATTGCTGTCTGTTTGTTTTCCCAGTGCTGATATTAGTATTACTTGTGGTGGTACAATACGAAATAGAGAAACAATCACTAATAGAAAAACCGAAGCCACCAGTTCCTAATCCACCGGAGAGGTTACCGGTTTTACAAATTCCGTCGCAGTATTCTTTGGCCGTGAGATCCAAATTGCTTCCGTTCCAAGACTTACCAAACCCTTCCTGCAGGAATGACTCTTCCTGTCCTGCTACATTTCTTTACACTGCTTCCAATCAGTCTTTTGCCAAGGGTACTACATCCCAGTTATTTGCTAAAGTTCTAAGGGCTAACTTATTCTTTCTTTAAAGGGAAACATCGTGTTATACTCATGTTCTTAGGCAAAATTCATGTAATTTGTTCACATTTAACATCGTGCACATTCAACTACTAACTTTTAAATTACGCACAGGGTAAGCTAAAAAAATGTATGGGGCTATTTTTTCGTAGAAAAGTATGTTCAATGTTTTACGTACAGGGGGTATCACGTCTGGTTTGATTTATGACAACAATTGATTAGGCAGGATGTTGAAATGATGTTATACTTAACAATGTTTATGTTAAAATGATGTTGTGTTCATTGAGATATCTTGTATTATGCTTGTTAGGTTTGGTAGGCGACATGTTTCCAACTGCCACCTCTGTGAATTCGTCTGACCTCCTCGAGCTCCTAGTCTTGGTGAGCCTATCTTAATTGAAGAAATGTTTTCGAGTTATTGGCAAGGTCGTTTATTTTTATTTTTTGTTAATGTTGCAATCGTTGTTTGATTGTTTGGTTGAATTGGTACAGGGAACTGATACCTTTTCTGTTGAGGATGATCTTTCTTATGAGTACTCAAAACTCTATTACCTACAACACAAATGCAATAAGAGTTTATCAATTTCTTTTCCCTTGACAGAAAAAAAAATTGGTATGATTTTGACTGCATAGTACATATGAAAACATTTTGTTTCCTTACTCCTCTAGCAAAGCATATATCAAGTACTAGTCTCATTGATTAAACCATGTTCAGAACGAGACTCGTGCATCCTTGATTTCACTGTTAGTTTTTGTAGTTGAATATATGTTTTTAATACAATGAATAATCCTTTATTCAGAGTTAAAATGCATGGAAGGGCTGACATTGTGGAGGAATAGCTACTCTGATATCAATGATGAAATGTATAAGGGTGATTTTCGTGTCAATACTAAGGAGGAGGAGGAATTTGCTGGAGGTTGGTTGATTTAAGGCCATTTGAATTTGCTGGAGGAATAAGCTATCTATTTATAGTTACCCTAGTTGATATAGTTATATGACTTATATCTACTCATTTACTATCTCTACATGCTCGAGTAGGAGTAATTTCTTTTTCCTTCTCACTTGACAGCTTTTGATCTTCAGAACTCTGAAAGCAGCCAATTCAATGTTGTAGTATGGTACAAAACCCCTGAGGAGGTTGTGCGATTGCTGAATATGGTAATAAGCTAAGAGCTCCTGTTAATCTTGGTTTTGAATTGTTTAAAACTTAATATATAACTAAAACTATTTGTCCTAGGCCTATTTTGTATCATGTCCGTATATTGTTGTAAGCATTTTGAGTTTTTGACCCTCATTTTCGAGGTTCTGTGGAGTTGTTTGTATTCAATGTCAGGCACTAATATTGTCTCTAGCATTATAACAATGAGCTTAACGAAGATTTGCAATCTGTAGGTATCCAATGCCTATCTTCAATTTTTACAAGGGAAAAGTGCAGGAATACCATTAGAGTTTATGAAAGATATGCCCACGCATAACTATGAGAACTCACCAAAATTTGTGACTCTCTTGAGTACACTATTGTTCATATGGATTATTGTCTGGTTATTCCCTGTAAGTCCCTTGCTATTATCAGGAATTTATTCTTTATCTGGCAAAGTATGCATTGCTCTAGTTATGCATTCAAGGTTTTGGCCACTAAATTCATATTGTTTCCTTCTTATTATGCGAAGTAACTTTTATCTTGAATCACTATAGAAAATTTTCCAATTACTAACAAGGCAAGTAATTGATCGAAAAGTCTAATGAAAACAGCTTAAATTAAATAATACTAAGTACTTGTTTAATGCTGCTAAGGAACACTGAGAGTGACATTATCTTGTAAATAATTAATGCTGCTAAGGAAAATTTCAGTAAGTTTCCAATTCACATGAAGATTATTTTTTTGCTTTTCAGGTGATTTTGCAAGCTCTGGTTTATGAAAAGCAACATAAACTCCGGATGATGATGAAAATGAATGGGCTTGGTGACAGAGCATATTGGACTATTTCATATGGATATTTTGTCATTGTCTCTTTAATCTATATGCTATGTTTTGTAGCTGTTGGTTCGCTTTTAGGTAATAATGCATGCTGCATGCATCACCATCTTCACTCACAAAGTCACCAACTTATTCAAGTTTATTCATGCTTAAATTTTTTGGTTGCAGGACTAAGTTTCTTTAAACTGAATGACTACAGCATCCAATTTGTGTTCTATTTTGTTTATGTAAACTTGCAAGTTTCTGTGGCCTTCCTAGCCACAGGGTTATTCTCCAATGTCAAGACGGCTTCAGGTGTGAATGTTTTATTTTAATATACATTGTATCACCCCATAATACTATAGATTGCTGCAGTAAACTATAACTTTCTTGTTCATGATACTCATTAAGACTATTTTATGTAGTTGTGGGGTATTTACTTGTGTTTTTGACTGGTCTATTGGGGAACTTCCTATTCAAGAGCTTGCTTGTAAAACCGTTTCCAAGTAAGTTTCATTATCAAAGTATGCTTTTGATAGAAATTTGTCAGATTTAATGTTTAATGCGTTTTATCAATATAAAATATGCAAGTAACAAGATTGAAAGATCTTTTTGTATGTCTTATTTTAATATATCTTCATATTTCAGAAATCTGGGTGGTTATTCTTGAGTTGTATCCTGGATTTTCATTATTTCGCGGGTTATATGAGCTACAACAATATGCATTTGATGGAAGTATGGTGGGTGATAGTGGCATGGAGTGGCGAGACTTGAATAACCCTGATAATGGAATGAGGGAGGTCATCATCATCATGTTAGTTGAGTGGGTGGTCACTGTAATTTTAGCATATTTTTTCGACCAAATGTCATCGTCTGGAAGTTGGTGGAAGAAGCTTTCATCATCTGCAAGGCTACCTAATTTCCGGAGTAATGAATCTCAAGATTCCTTAGATGCAGAGAAAATTGATGTAGTCCAAGAGGTAAGACTTTTGCTCCATGTGTATGCATGCAGTATCTCATTGCCATTGCTAAAAGAACTAAACTTAATCGGTTCCTTTTCTTGTTGCCTAAAACTTTTTACTTTTAACTGAAGGTGCAAATAGATGGTCAAAGTCAATCAGCTTCAATTTTCATAGCTCAATTATAGGAAAAATTTCTCTTGCAAACTACTTACTCCCCATTTACCCCCTTCCTCTTTAATAGAGGGAAACAGTGAAACAATCGATACTCGAGTCAGCTGAAAGTCATCCCTTTCTCTGTGACAACATCAGGAAGGTGTATCCAGCAAGAGATGGAAACCCTCCAAAAATTGCTGTCAAAGGAATGTATCTTGCTTTGCCTCAATCAGGTTGCTTTGGGATGCTTGGCCCGAATGGTGCAGGAAAAACTTCATTCATTAGCATGGTTAGTCCAAAGTTGTTCACTTGTCATCTGTGAAGTTCAGTAGATCTCTACAAGGCTATGAATACTTTATCCGAGCTTCTTTCACCATTTCATCATCCTGGTAACAAGGGTGCAGAAGTAGATATAAAATGAAATTTAAAACTTACTATTAAACTTAGTGTTTTTTTTTTCTCCTTTTGCTCATATAGATGATTGGTCTTACAAAGCCAACCTCTGGCACAGCATTCATAAATGGTTTGGACATAAGAACAAACATGGATGAGGTATACTCTATGATCGGTGTTTGTCCTCAGGACAAGTAAGTTTTTCAATCACTGTCCTACTTCCTCTACTTGAGGATCTTTTGAAGCCATAGTTTACAATTTCTTTATCTCTTGATAAGTGCAGCCTTCTCTGGGAAACTCTAACAGGACGGGAGCATCTAATGTTTTATGGTAGACTAAAGGGCCTTAGAGATACTGTCTTAAAAGAGGTACTTGTATATCTCTCTTAGTGAATTGTCTGTTGAATAATTTCTTCATATCAATAATATTGCTAGATATATATATTTAATACAGCCCCTCTTCTAATTCTTGCGTGATATATACTTCGTAGTTGATAAAGTTAAGGGTGTATAATGGTGGGTGGGATCAATAACTAATTTTGGTATTTACTTCTTACATGAATTAGGCAGTGGAGGAATCTCTTAAAAATGTCAATTTATATTATGGTGGTTTTGCTGACAAACAAACTGGGAAGTACAGCGGTGGTATGAAGAGGAGACTAAGTGTTGCTATTTCCCTGATTGGAGATCCCAAGGTTTGTTCTTAGCATCATATAACCTTTTTGTCCATTTAAGTATTTTTTTTATTTCTTTTTCTTTTTCTGATTCATTTTGATGTAGTCATGCAAGTATGATCAATATCATAGTGATATATAATGATTCTTTTTTCAAAGGTTGTATTCATGGATGAACCTAGCACTGGACTAGATCCGGCTTCCAGAAACAATCTGTGGAATGTTGTAAAGCGTGCAAAGCAAGATCGAGCCATTGTTCTTACTAGTAATCTTTTCTTACCTGTCCTTTTTCTATATATGCCTATGCATTGGCACATAGCTCTTAGTCTCTTGCATTGCCACTGACAATTTATGCTTCAAACAATTTCACAGCACACTCTATGGAAGAAGCTGAAGCTCTTTGTGACCGATTAGGTATTTTTGTCAATGGTGACATGCAGTGCATAGCAGATGCGAAAGAGGTTAATCTCTTTAAAACTCTTTTTTTCCATACGCACCTCCTAGATCGGGTTATTGTCTGAAGTCATGCATAAAATATCTTAGGTTGTTTTTGTTTGGTCGGGAATCAACATGTCTAATTTGCTGACAGTATTAAACACAAATATATATGATGAAGATTATATGATCAAGTAGATGAGCTTAAGGTTATGTCATGTTTTATTTGTATGTTTGATGTTATTTTATGTATGGCTATATGTGGACTCTTATTCTTCATCATGGACTCTCAATTATCAATGTTCTTTACCCTTTCTATTGACAGTTGAAGGCTCGATATGGGGGATTGTTGGTGTTCACCATGACGACCACAGTAGACTACAACGCGGAGGTGGAAAATATGATGAAGTTGATCTGCCCTAATGCCCACAAGATATACCACCTTGCAGGCACCCAAAAGTTTGAGCTCCCAAAAAATGAGGTGAGGATTGCAGATATATTCCAGGCTGTGGAGATTGCGAAGGTTAGGTTCCCGGTTCATGCGTGGGGCTTGGCAGACACCACCTTGGAAGATGTCTTCATCAAGGTTGCTAAGCTTGGTAATTTAACTTTGGATGAAAATTTTGTTGGAGTTTGACCAAGGGTTTGATGATTAGCATAAGGTTTACTTAGTGGAGCGGTGTCAATATCCAAATCATAAAATATAAAGTACTATGTAGGAGAGATGTACTTAATTCTAATCTTCCTAAAGCCTTAAATATTGGGAAATATGTTTATAGTTTAACCAATCCAAAAGGTAGAGTGTAAACTGATCTATTAACTTATTAAGTTATTGGTTCACTTCTACTTGAAAGTAGGCAAGCTAAATTTATTTGTGTATTATACATTTGTACTTGTAGAATAGTGAGCAAAAACTGCATGCTACACTGCAAAACACTTGATGCAACAAAGTGATGCCTGCTTATAAAGTTGAGTTTGGGCTAGGCCTCGCGTGCCTCGGCAAGCCAAGGGTACATGTACAGCTGGGCTTACTGCTTATGTCCTTATGGCTAATCTAAGCTGTGCTTGTTGATTTCCTCTAAGTGGACCAATCTCTCATGCTCGTGCCAATATTTGAAAATGATATCAATACACAGCCCACCGATGTATCATACCGGATGAACAGTGGGCTGAATACGTCCCATGCCAACCGAGCTCAATCCATGCCCTAACCTTCCTAACCAATCCTTATAAACATCACATTGTTATATTTGTAAGCACAGCCACCCAACAAGTTCTGGCCTATACTATAGGTTATTGCCCAAATATTGTCCATCAACCCAAGTCACCCAACCCTTCAATCTCAACTACTATGTTTGCCACAACTCACATGTAGGTGAAAGTGGCAATTTGATTATTTATTTCACGTTTGAATTTCATATGAAGCAATTTAATTGGTTCAAATACGAGTTAGTTCAAGTCAACTAAATTTTAGGGCTATAGTCAATTACGTAGCTCATTATGGAAATTAAATTACGTAGTAATTTTATCTCATATGTAAGTTCATGTGGATCAAATACAAATACAATTTGAGTATGTATCGGATTATTTGAATTAGTTTTGTCGGTTCTATATGTATTCATCTCTACCAATCTACCTATATACTACAATAATTCTAGGGTTGCATCTTTCTATATTATCTATGGGGTGGTGAGGTGGGGCATGGCCATACGTGACTTAACCACCTCCTATGGCTTGGGCCATGTAGTTTAAAATGGCCCCATAGGTAATAACCAATTGGGTAAGGCCTAGTTGGTTGGTACTTGGTACCTGTCCCAAACATTAAAGTTACCACTATTCAGTATACCGCCCCTTGTTAGACTTGTATGAGTTGCAAGCTGCATGCCCTAGGTGCCACTCTTTATATTCTACGTGCCGTGACTAATTACCTTTCGATCAAATTATAGAAAATAGTAATACATTTAGTGGTGAAGGGGATTACATACCATTAACTCAATCAACGCAATCATTATATAAGAAACATTATTTTATCAGTAAATCTAGATGAATATCTCGAAAGAGACTCTTCTGAAAGTACTCACACCCTGACACACATATATCTAACATTACATGCTAGCCTCTTATTGAACATGATGTTACACTACACATTTATGCAATAAAGGAAACGACACGCTATTTATCAAACACGTAAATCACAAAACTATATATTTTCTTCAAATTGGGACAAAATATTCATATTCAATAGTAAAGAGATGACCTCAAGACAGCCTTTATTTCATGCAGCTTTATTGTGTGCGTATAGTAAAACAGTAAGTGAATGATAAAATTGTATAGATAAGGATACATGCTTCATAAGGGCCAACAGTTTGGTGGCCAAATATATTAAAAACTTTAAATTGAGCTAGTCAAATTTCATCAAAATTTCAGAAAGTGATTAAAGTTGCTTTATACACACAACAAAATTTCTGCATAATAGTTCGCATATGATTGATGCATTATAAAGAAAGAAGTGGAGGCATATAAGTCAATGTTGGCTATCTCTTGCAGCTTTAATTTCATAATTTTTTTTATTTTTTTTTATTTTTTTTTTGAGTGCATTACAACTGCCCATAAGACTATGCTCCCACAAATGGTATGGGTCTCGTCTTAGAAGATTGTGAGTTTTTCTCTCTTCTTTTTTTATTTTCCTAATATGAAGCCATTGTATGTACGTAAATTAAACGGTCTTACACTAATTTGCTGTGATTCGTAATACATACAATAATAACTTCGGAAATAAGTAAAGCCCGTGATTCAGTGAGGTCATATAAAATGTTATTTTGATGAGTCTGCCTTATATAAGTGCAATATATAAGACCGTCTCTTGTCTTATAGTGGAGAATGCTCGTGGACCATACCCTTAAAAGACTAGTATTGCCTTCTAAAGTTCGGTGTTTCCTTGTGATTTGAATTGGTCATCTGTGTTGCATGTCCTCCCCTATAGCGACTTTTAAACTTCAAATCATAATTCGACGAGTGATCGTAACGCGTCTCATTAAAAAGTTTACTGATATCTAAAACTATTTTTTATATTATTATATTTTTATTGTTTTTGGTGGTGAGACAACTAATTGATAATTACACGGAATAATCAAATTTGGTTCATGTAGCCGACCCTATTTATAGGATTAAGGCTTTGATTAATTGATTGTGGTGAGGTAATAATTATTTGGTTAATAAGTTTGAGAAGTAATATTGGAGACTAAAGGTCAAATATAGGAAGTATGCGCATATGGCTTGTTCTTAGCTCTTATTTAGATGTACTATACGTACCAAGGAACAATTTGATGGAGAGAACCGTACCCCTATGATTGTTGCGATAATTAGCTAATTGTATTCCAAGGTGCACAAAATCACCGTACCAGTGACTTGTGAGTTCTTAACTTGATCTAGCTAGCTAGCATGTACTTTTGTACTAAGTATATAATAGTTAAAAATAATACGGAATATAAATAATTAACTAATCAATCTAAGTCATACCATGTATATATATTAATTTTAAAATGATTTATTAGTTTCTTCAAAAAAAAATTATTTATACGAGTTGTGAAATTGACACCTTGTTTATTGTAACTTAAAAATTAATGTAAAATTTCATTTTGATCTTAAAGACCATTTTATATGTAATATAGTAAAAATCACTTTTGATTGCTAAAATACAAGTTTCAAGAATAAATATACGTTTAATCACGAAAATTAGTTTTAATTAATAAACCTAGTTTTGCTCAGCGACAAAGAGACGTGCATGTTGATGAATTTCAGGCAAGAATCATAGCTAACTAGAACCTCCCAAAACTTATCACTCACATCAGTTGCATGTATAGTTAATTAACATTTGTAACCAGATAAACAAATTTTGTTAAGACTAAAATTAGCAACTAATTCATCGAGTACAATAAGATAATGCGAATGATCGAAAACAACAATTATATTTCGTATTACACACAATGAAGCTCCATTTTATTGTAGCTTAGTATGCTTCTTTGCTCAACGGAGCTTGGAAAAAAAAAAAAAAAATCTAATCAACTGCCCTACTACAGCTTAATCCATTAGCATCTAGCTAGTGACACAACCCTAGGGGGGAAAAAATTAAACTCAATAAAAAAAATAAAAAAAAAAAACAAATTTTATTACTATTTTTATTGTAATTATTTCAAATTAAATTAAAGTGCTTGACTTGACTACCCAAAAATTAAAACAAGAAGAAAAAAGAAAAAAGAAAAGGAAAAAAAAAAAAGTAGAGAGAAAATACACACAAATCACTAAGTAGTAACCTTAATTAACTATTGCATTAATAAACTTCTAATTAGTGCTGCTTGAGTAGTATCTGTTGTTTCTAACAGTTGAGACAATCTCTCACTCAATCCATCTACTTCTCTATGCAATGTTTTGATGTAATTGCAAGTCTCTTGCAATACTCTTGATGCCGATACCTGCAACATTATTAACCAACAAATTAATTATCATTATTATTATTGCTCGAAATATGTTTTTGATGGGTGTTGATTACCTTAATTGAGAATTTAATCTTGGAAATGAAACCCGAGACTTAGAATCAAATACTGCATTTATCAATCACTACCATTTGTGACTCTCTATGTATAAGCGAAAAAACTTTTATTTTGCTTTTGTGGATACATGCAGACGGGATAACGAATACTTTAAAACCATTTTAGAATTTGTTATGACAACTTAGCTAAAATTGAACTTGTTCACATTCTAGTGTAAATCGTTGACAATGCCGACACCAACTATCAACTCAAGGTATCAAGTCATCATTTTTTTTACATGAATTATTCCGGACTAGTAGGGGAAAAAAAATTAAAAAAAAAAAAAAAAAAAAGTCAAAAAGTCAAAAAGTCAATTTACTAGATGCTTTGTGAATTTTCAAATTTTGGAACTTTCTCGTAATCAAGACTTGATTTAAAATAAAAGGTAGAGAGGGAATAATCAAGTCCAAATACAAAATGGTGGTCGTAATTATTTTTGTAGCAAGTACGGAGTAATTTTGTATCAATATTTTTTATTTATTATAGTGGTAAATCCACTAATTAAATATATAAGTGATCACAAAATATATATTAAAAAAATAAAATTACATCAATAATTTCTCAAGGGTAGATCTACAATGAAGATGAAAATATTTTTTTTGTTATATTTTATTTGTGAGGCCTAGAGAGAAAGAACCGAATGATGAATAATGTAAACAGGATTCGATCCCTTCTCAAGGCTTACATAATTTAAACAGCTAAGTTAGTTGAAATATAATTAAAGAAAGATGACCCAGAAAAATGAAATGTAATGTAATGATACATGCAGTATCGGATTTACCTTATCGGGGCGTCGAGTGTTATGGAGCTCAGGGAGAAGTTGCTGCAACTTAGAGACAAGATCTTGAATTTGATCATCTGTTATTCTGGAACCTCCAGTTTGCCTAGACCGTGACCTTCTGCTAGACATAATGTTATAAATATAAATATAAATATAAATTTCTATTTATAGAATATATTCACTATGATGATCACTTGGATTCTAAGCTTGAACTATACTGATATGTCAGAAATATAATGTGGTGTGTTACTAAAGAGAGCGAGGCGCATACAAAGTGTGTATATATATATATCTCTATTATATAAAGCGAGGAAAATAAACACGAGTCGAAAAGTTTGGAGGGACAATGCCTAGGAGACAAGGTATGGGAGGGATGAAGAGATAAGTGGTGGTGGTGGAAAAATAATAAGGAGATGAAGATGAAGAGAAGAGTTTAGTGAGGTAAGGTAAGGTATCATATATATAAGTAGGAATTATAAAACTAAGTGGGGAGAATTGAAGGAGTGTGAAGAAGACAATTGCATGGGAGAAATAAGTGGGTGGGAGTTTGGGGGTATTTAAATAGGGTTATTAGGGTTAGACTGATCGAGGAGAGAGAATATCAAAGATACGCCAAACTGGCATGGCAACCCTTCTCGCTGTGTTCCCAATTCCCAAACTTGGGGGCTAGCTTTCTTCTATGGACAGTAGAGATTTATTATATTGCGCGTTTTGCACAAAATATCCAATGCAACTGTTGTATATCGTATATATTCTATACAATATATATATATATATATATGTGGTGTAATCGACTACTCATTGACTAGTCAATAAAATATAAAGTTACTTTTTATTTAATTAAATTTTTAATATTCTTACTTTTGTCGAGGTTGTAAGAAGGTTGTATAATCACGTGATGTAACTGTTATATAGGAAATTGTCTAATAAGAAAGTTGATTATTTTGTGGGGAGAGGGGAGGGGGGAGAAAGATCTTCATTATCTGAAGTGTTTTTGTTAGTCCCTACTTCTCACTCAATACCATGCTAGGCTGTTAGAGCGTGCTAGCTAGATTAAAATAAGTCAAGTTTAGATGGCGTTATCTTAGAATTGAAACTGAATCACTTTAATGCCATTGTTTTTTGTGATCATCTTTCATAACATATACGAAGTATATACAAATAATAAACTTTCCTACTCTCTCATTGTCATTGTCTTTAATTTGAATTGTTGAGTTTGTTTAAAATTAAAGGGTATAACTGATTTTTAACAAATGGTATAGAGTTAAGCCCCAACTTTTCTTATTTGTTGCCAATTAGTGATGTAATAGTTTGCCGCCTAAGTTTCAATTAAGAAAAATAATTCTTTCAATTAATTAGTATGTTGGTTGTCTTTATTGTGGTAGAGCTTGTTTATTACCTTTATGGCTTGTTTGATTGGTGATTATAATACGCTAATTTGATGGAAATGAATTTGCATGTGAATTTGAATCAAAATCCTATGGATTGGAGATGCTTGGTGATGCTAATGCACTCTAAAGTATCATCACTTTTTATTTCTACATAAAAATTTCATTACTATTCGTTCCCCCTTGAAGGGAGATTTTGGATGGTAACAATAGGTTATGAAAAAATATACTAGTTTCATGGCAGGGTTACGTTGTATCACAATGAACAGTTAATATAATATTATTCAAGTTGCATATCAATGCATTAATGTGTTAATTATTGTTCTTTTATCTACAACCAGTATCAATTTTACAAAAGTGGAACGAAATATGCATTTGTAAAGCAATTGTATAAAAATTTCTGATATGTCTCAAACTCATTCACATAATATTTGTGAATTGTGACAATATTATATCCCTTTTGAAAACAATTATATTAAAATAGAACGAGGATTGCATTTACAAACGAAAAAAGACAACGAAACAATAAAAGGTATGTCAAAGTGATGTCCAATATACAATAAGCTAGATCAATAATACAAGGTTTTTTTTTTTTTTTTTTTTTTTTTGAATTGATATCTATTTTATAGTCAACCATCAGCTTATTTATATTGGACAAATTTATATTGATCCTCTAACACTCAATTATCACTAAATCAAGTACTAGCTATACTTGATAGATCATAGATGTAACGAAAAAATGAAAACACAACGTTCAGTACTCCACAGGGATGGGTTGTTCACGTACACGGTATTATGGTACTCCGATTAATAGCATAACTATTAATTAAAATGTCATTCATCTTTCTTTAAAAAAATAAAATTCATTTCAAAATGAAAAATAACTATGGCAGAGTACATACACACTAGCAGCTACTATAGTTCGTACGAATTATAGTTTGTTTTGTTTCAATAATTATGATTAGTATCTGTGAAATGTACCTGAGATTCCCTTCACACGTTACGTCGCTTATTGTGTTACATTTTAGTTACCTATAAATGGAAGTTAATTATAACTAAACCATTTATAGTAAGCTTGGCTGTTAGACAACCATATATGATTCACTTCCTAATCTTTTCAAAAAATAAAAAACAGCAATTTGTAGACTGTAGTACACTTTAAATAGAAAAATATCATTCGTAGTTTAATGAATTATGTGCATCATATATTCATATTTGTGAGATTGGATCCTTTGATTTGACTCTTTTTTTTTTTTTTTTTTTTTTCAGAAACAGAACATAGAATAAATACTAAAACAAAAAAGTTGACTAGAACTCACTCTAAGTTAGTACCAAAATAGTAGTTACAGTTATTACAGACCGAAGTTTGAGCCACATAAGGCTTTAGAATAATTCCAAAATAGCTCCTGGATTGCAAAAATGGCTAGAAGTTCGTTGCAAAGATTTGACTCATTTCTTACTTCATGGGGATCAGTTTTTAAATGAAACGCTGTATGTGTAACAATATTCCATGATAAGATAATACGGAGTACTATTACTTTGTATAAGATTAGCCTAGTATTTTCAATCAATTTCAAATCAAGATTTTTTTTATAATTATGTAATTTAAGTAGGTGTTGTACGTAGTTACATCCAAAATTGTAAAATTAAGGGATTCTTTTTTTTTTGAAGGGTTGTAAAGTTAAGGTTAATACAGATTCATTAGTATCAATATGTAATTTTATATGTGGGAATTTCATCTCTATGCCTTATTTATTGAGAATGAAGAATCAAATATTTTGTCTTACATACCCTAAATAGTAAAGAAGTTATGAATTTATTTTGATTCAAAATCGAATCACCAATCATCCAAGACGAAAAAAGAATATCAACTAGCTAGGAATTGTTATGTTTTGATAAATTTATATACAAGTAGGATCTAATAAATTTATGTGCTTTTAGACCCATTATTCTATGATTGTTTGGTAAAAAGAACATCAACTTTAACTCCTCAAGTAACCCACCACATGTTTCAATTGATGATCCAAAATATTATTACATGCATGATGACTATTATTCTAGTTTTTGTCTTTGAAAGAAACCTAATAGTACAATAATTTTATTAAAAGAGGTAATTATTTGGTGGGTCCCCCCTTCTTATTAGCCTATCAATATGCCAAATAGGTGTGTTTGGGTTCAATAGCATGTGAGGAGATGGAAAGGGTAAAGGGGGAAGGGGTCATCCCTCACATGATGTATTAGTGAGAAGTTCAACTTGAAACCTCAAAATTAAATTATCAAGTGACAACTTTTACTACTAAAGTATAGGTTAACTTGGTACTATATATCATATATATGTATGATTGATCTTATAATTAGCTTAGTTTTCATTATTGCAAACAATATTCTACAATCATATACTATTATTCTTTGTATGGCTCATATATAGTATAGTTTCAAGAGATTAAATTAGTTATTTAATATTCTAGTTTGTCCTTGATCTTTTTTTAATAACATAATTTATATATATGAAAAATATATTATATCTAATGGAAATCAATTCAAGTCAACTATTTATATATAATAATAATAAGAAGGTTGATAATACACTACCCTTTAGACTTTAACATAACTCAACTAATAAACAAATTAATGAAAATCTTTGACTAGGGAAAAGTCTATCAAATAATAGAATTTCATATCAATTTATTAGCTAATACATAAATAATCAGCTAATAATAGTAAAAGTCTTATGTGGGTTACTCAGATCACTTGCATGTAAGTTAATTATTTAGTCAATAAGACTAAGAACATTTATCGTTCTCTTCTAATGGACCTTATTTCATAAACTTAATATTTGTTCTTGTTAGAATCAAGTGAGACAAATAATGATTCGCATATATCAAATCAGACAGTGATGCATCATTATGAAAATTAACATTTTAAAAATTATACACACTGAGATAAATTTAACAATTTTACTTAATGATGTTTTTTTGTCATATATCATCTAAAAATTTTAATTAAGAAGATTCCATCATAAACCAGCCTAATTAATCAAACAAGTCACTTGTACTTAAGTTAGCTCAATTATAAAGTATTAGAATAAAAATCAATTCATTTTAGGAATGTAGGGTAATGATACAAATGGGGTTATGGACAACCTAATTAAACCAAACTAGCTTATTACACAATATGCTTATCAACTAATAATGAAGTGCTTAATCATTTAATTTCCCTATTATTGACATGCATATGATCAAGATCAACCTTTCAAAATGAGTCCAAGTGACTTCTGAGTATAAATCAAAACTTTAGTATATAGTAGTGTAGTATAAATATAGTACATCAAAAGCTATATATAATAATGTATTTTTATTTTAATTGGACAAGAAGTATGAAGGCGGTTGAGAGATGTAAATAGACAACAAGGATTGACCGGTCAAAATTAAAACGGTGGAAAACTGTAAACACCATTTTTTGTGGTTGTCGAGAGCTACAACATGAAACGTGGTGCATCCATATTTTAGATACAATCTTAATACTCCCTTGATTTCGTTTTAGATACATTGCTTTTTAAATAAGGATGTTTTATTATTTCTCTTTTAGCTGATAAATTCTCTTTATATCTCTCATATTATAGGAATTTCTTTTCCTCTATTTCTCTCATCTTCCAAAATTGCCTAAATCTCCATATTTTTAAAAGTGATATATCAAAAACGAAATAGATGAATAGTATGACTTATAATACTTCATATTAGTATGAGAATTAAAACAATATATGTTAGCGTTACACCGACCTCTTTCCTCGGTAAATATTAAACTTTGCACATCATATTATTGGAAATATAAGTGTATATAGTACAGTTTAAAAATAAACAGTTGTAAGATATTGTGATGGTTATATGCTTGGCTCCAAAATCCTCTTTCAATTACTATGTCATTGATCAACCGCTTCTCTCAAATTACGTGGCCGTAAATTTCCAAATTTTGGCACTAAATTTTGCGATAGATACTATTAATTACTTGTACTCCCTTTATTTCTAAAAGTTTGACTTACATTGTATTTGCACAGTTTTCAATGTACATCTTTAATCATTAATAACTTCGACTATGTATAAGTAAAAATTTTAAAAAGTTGATATTTGAAAATTTTATCATAAAGGGGAATCTAATAAGATCAAATTTGTTAAATTATTTTGATTGTATTAATCATAAAATATGGTTAAAGTTAATTTTATTTTAACCACATGAATAATAAGTGAGTCGAACTTTAAGAATGGAGGTAGTT